TGCAATCCAATATAAACAATTCCGTACATAGACACATGGAAAAAATATTTGAAAAAATATTAGTAACTATTTGAAGGGTCATAGAAATGTGTGGAATAATAGTTAAGCAGTCATATAATTGATTTATTATAGTTTTTATATTGTAAACAAAGATTATTCAAACTTGAATATCAATATACAGTACCCTTAAAGCCTTAAATCCCTTTAAAGGATATCTTGAAAAATCTATCCACTATACATATTCCTCTGTTATGCCCAGATATATAATAACTTAATACTTTCTAAACAGTATTTCTTAACAGTCCTATCAATATATTGCCTAAGGACTACAGCTCCCATAAAAATTTAACAAAATCAACTCTAAGACTCCCACTAAGTATTTTTCTTCGTGCACCTTCTCTCACATATACAGTTGCGTGTGCCTTTGTTGAACTAACCGGCGGCTTTTCATTTTTTTCCCCACCAGCCCATATACAAAATTCTTTCGGCATTGGCCAGGTTCTGCTCCTAGGTTCTGCACACCAATGTGGCCATGTTCGCAATATTTTGCCACTTTTTTTTCGTTGGAATTCCAACTCTTTTTACGTGGTGCCGCCTTTCCGAGCCAAAATCCGCCCCGGGAGGTTGCCCGCATTGCCACTAACACTCGCGCATAACGTCGCTACCAACGTTGCGTATACGTAATGTCAAAACTATCGATGGCGAATTTACACCACGTTGTGAACACATTTTTTGCCACAGTCGACGTTGCTAATGTTGTTGTTGTTGTTGTTGTTGTCGCCTTAGTTGTTGCATCCGCGAAGGGCTTATTTGTGGATCGTTGCCATTGGCACACCCTGTTATAGGGAGTCGCTGTGACACTTTTACTAAATGTAGGTTAATAAAGTAATTTATGTATATTTATTATCAGAAATAAAGTTGTTTATTGAAAAGGGAAAGAAAAGACATATGTAATATTACTATAAGGTTTAATTTTAGCAAAGAACCTTAAGAAGCAACTTTATATGTTAGCCTAAAAATCTTCAGGCAGTACAATAAAATTTCAATGAAAGTTAAAATAAATTTTAAATAAATTATCGCCTAATGATATGTTGAAAAATACATTCTCTATTAAATAGTTAACTATTAATGTATTTTTTTTCTTATTTTTAGTTCCCAGGGTATTTTGTTAGGCCATAACCTGCAATAATTTTATTTCTTTCTAGCATTTACCCTGCAGGGAGACCCCTTCGTTTCTAGCGCATATTTCACTATATTTTCATTTTAGCGCTTCCACACAGACACACACTCGCAGCACGCTAGCACTCACATGGATGCATGGCCACGCATCCACACAAACACACACATACACCCCCAACAATGGTCGCACTTCCTGTTTCCGCTTGTTGGCAGCGGTGTTGCAAAGTGTGAGAGGATGGAATGAAAAGGTGGGTGTGTGTGGAATGGTAAGGGGCGGGATCGGGCGAGATCGAGCGACACCGGGGTCAAGGGAGAAATTTGCATAAATTTTCCGTACATTTCGCACAGAAGGCAAATTGCATTTTCAGCATAACACGTACTCCATTCTACTTACACCGACATCAGGCCAACACACACACACAAACTTACATTTCGCACGCAGTAGTTTTTCTTTTCATCCGCCCCCAGTTACTCCCTCTATCCCATCCACTCCTCTTAACCAAAAGGTAGGCCGAGTTTTTCCCGGCGCCATCATCCTTATTTTCATTTTCAACCTCCTCGCATCGTCAGAAGCTTCGTCCTTATCCTGGCGCTCCATTCGTCTGTGTTAGTTTAAGGCATGCAAATGTTACGAAAATTGCTTTTTACTTCCCATCATGCAGGTGAATGAGTTCCTCCGCCCTCTCCCCTACCGTCACACACACACACACACACACCTCACACCGGCACCCACACACACAAGTAAGTTAAGTGTTTGCCTTGAAGTTGTTACTGCTAAATTACCTTTTGTTGTAATTTTTTGGCACTGCCGGGAAGGGAAGGGGACATCCTGCCCGCACAATGGACACAAAAGTTTTTTGTTAACCAAAATCAAATAAATATTAAAATAAATCCATACAATCGATGGCTCGATTTATTCATAGCCAATGCATGGTGAATATATTCTGTGTGTCAGCATTAAATACCAATGTTGCAGCTTTGGTGCTTACAAAAATAACATAAATATTCAAATTTCAATCAATTTCCCATATAAATGAAAAGCCTATCAAATGAATTTTCCCATTTAGGCATTAGTGAAATATTATTTCAGGTTTTTAATTGCTGGGTTGCCGGTAGAAATGCTTTTTCAGATACGTTTTTGCTATTTAAATGAGAGTTTATTTTAAATGCCTAAAGCAATTATAATCATTGCCTACTTATTTGGGCAATGCCTGTGTTTGGGTTTTTAAATTACTTTTAAAAGTGAATGTATGAATATGAAATTGCTTCTGTTTGCTAAAAGTAATATCAATATGAAACTGATAAACATATAATGTTTGATAAGTATTTTAGTCACGAAGTCTATTAGTAAACGTGGCATTCTGTTCATCTAATTTATAACGAATTTAAAATAAATAAATAATCCTTAAACACACTCGCTTTAATAATGTTTTAATCCCTTTGGGTGAAAAAAGTAAATAAACGAATAAATTTAATAAACTAAAAATGTATTTAAAATCAATGTTGAAAAATATAAGTCAGTAAGCCAATATTTATGCCATTGTCCTGAGATCCCATTCTTACAGCCAAACCTACCATTATGTCCTGTTAAATGATGTGTTGTGGGCCAATTTAAGCCAACTTCTCTATCTCTGTCTATCTCAGTGTCTTTCTCGCTTGCACTGCCTTTTTTGGGTATATTTGAACAATAACATTTAAAACTGATTTATGCAGCAAATTGGAGAAAAAACATTTAATTGCTACGAACGTGTTTCAGCTCTCTTCCTTTCCATGTAGAGTGTTTTGCGGGTTGTTCGGTAAAAATGTTAAATGCAATGTCAAGCAAAAACACAACAAAAATAATAATAAAAGAAGGAAAGAGGAGAAAAGGGGTAGGGCGATGGGGTAGAAGTGAAGCCAAATAATATTCTGCATACAAAATAACTTGGTTTCTCTAATGGCTGAATTTTAAAATGCATGAGCTCCACTCGGGGGTCACCCCTTCAAAAAAAAACCCCAGTCCCAACCCTCAAACCTCCAACCATCAACCCCCAACCCATTTAGTCCTGCTAGCATGTTTGTGTTTTCTGCTGTGCTTTGTGAACTGTTGAAGTTTATTTTTGCCAGATTTTAATATGTATGAGTTGAAGATGAAGCATTTATGGCAACACACAAAACACAGTGGCAGATAGAATACTCTGTATGTGTTTGGCATATTTATGCAGGTCTTCGACAGCTAAAGGGGGCGTTTCCAAGAAATGTAGGCGTGGCCGGCCTCTCACTTCTGTAATAGCAATTTCCTACGAATGCCTTCTCCAACGTATTTTCGGGCATGCTCAGCAATTTTCCCACTGGCAAGTGACTGACTAATGTAAGTTACGTGTATCCTCCACATACATATATGAATGTATCCTCAATGTGGACTTGGTTGGTGTCCATTCCCGCCCATTTTCCAACCGTTTGCCATGTTCCTCCAATAATGCAAATCATTTGTACTAGACAAGGCCGTTACATTTTCTTTTGGTGGATCCCTCGGTTTTTCATGTGGGAAATGTGGCTTCTTTTTTGCTGCTCGTTAAGTTAGCCTGATGCCATTTGTTTTATGTTGCTAACTCAATTTATGAGTTTCACTCATGAATCATAGGGATTTAGAAGCACTTTTTTATGAGTAGAATGTTGGAAAAACAGGTTATTAAGATAAAAGAGAATTTTTAAATGTTTTTTAAAATGAGTAATGAGGCTGTCCTCCCTTAGAGTTTCCTTTAAAAGTTAAGTTTTTAAATATTTCCCTAATTTTAAGTTTCGTTTGATAAACTCAAACTTAAATGAAGGCTTTCAGGCTCATCCATTACCAATCCCATCAGCACTTATCAAGACACTTTCCACACCAACCAAACCCAATAATTCTTATCATCTTTAACCTGGCCATCCTCCTGGCTCATAAAATATGCGTAGTCCTGTTCGCATGTCCTACATCTGTATCTTATTAACCGAATTGATGTGTTTGCTTATTTACCTAATGTTAGAAGGTATATACATATATATAGTATGTTTCTGTTCCTAAGCTCGGATTCAGTTGCCACAGACGTGTCCTTGCGTCCTTGCGTTTTACGTGCTCATTATCTGCGCTTCCGAGCAATTAGATTCAATTGCCCACCGCACGTCTATTGTCGGTAGCTGGCTGGGAATCCCCCGATCCGCTTGCCATCTGAGACTTGGTATGGGGGATTATTATTCCCGTAACGTTATCCGGATGGAATTCTCCGACGGCATAAACACACTCACACACACGTCACGTAGTCTATCCTACTGAACACTAGTCTTCTTCGTTGCTCAGCAGAACAACTAATCCATCACTATTTGCCGTACATTTTAAATGATTCTTTTAGCCAGCCTGGCATGGGTAAGTGGGGTATTAGAGAGGTATTAGCACCCATCAGAAAGTCAATTGCTTGTAAAATTCTATCTTTCTCAAGGCTATATATTCTTCAGCCTTTTCGCAAGGTAGAGCAGGCAGCAGCAGGGGCAAGACAGGATTCTTGGGAAATTTTTGCAAGTGACACTTATTTATCATTCGTCCCCTGTCTTATTTATCATCAGTGAACAGGAGCAACAGCAAGCAGCAGCAACAGAGGCAAACAAATTGAACAAGGACTTATCCTTAATGTGGAGTGATTTGTCTGCTCAAATGGAAGATGTCCTTAAGAGGATTTCGAAGGCGGCTGGAATTTAATTTCATACTTTGTTAAGAGCGCAAATCATTTGTAATCAGAGATAAGAGAGGTGAAATGGCTAAGTAAATAAATGGATTTAAGTCCCCAAAAGAAGAAATCACTGTTCCATACAATTACGTATATTTATTTTGAGTATTTCGTGTCAAATATTGTTTTGCTTTGCATCCTTAAAAGTTAATTATTGAAAAATCACACAGGAAATGATTTTATTTGTTGTCTCTTTTTTATGCTTTACATTTGATCTTAGCGGTTCGTAAAAAGTATATTAACATAAACACGCTTTGCTACTAAATTAGCTATTTTAGGTGCAAGAACTTACAAATTAATATCACTATAAATGCTCAAATGGGTAAGGTTAGTGATGGTGAAGAATAAAACTAGAATTCGGTGTGAAAACTATTCGCCGTGTCGATCATTTTGGATTGCAGAAATATCTCAGCGTGGTCAGTCATCTAAAAGGATACTTGAAAGACTTGAACGAAAGTTTAGAGCCAAGATCTTACCTCCTTGAGAGTCAACAGCTCATCCTTGTTCTCATCGCACAGGCTAAACAGAGTAGCCGCCTCCTGGAGGGCATATCTTGGAGTCTTCGGGTTAACATAGTTCAAAAGCTCTCCACGATCGGCCTTGCCGTCGTGGTTTTTATCAATGATCCGCTTAAACTCCTCTCTTCTCTCTACTAACGTCTTGGATATCAGAGATTTCCTCATCAGGTCATCATCATCATCCACATTTAAGTCAGAGAACTCCTCCAAAGTCAACTGATCATCCCCATCCTCATCGAACTGTCGCAGCAGATCATCCACGAGCTCCAAAAGATTGGATACACTGGACTCCGGATGACGGAAACTCAAATACTCATCGATGGTCAACGTAAAGAGATCCGTTCGAGCTGCCTCCGACCATCGGGCCTTGTCTCTCATCATGTCCTCCCTGGCCTTACGATTCAAAGCTGTGTGACGGATCTCATCATGCTCATCGATGTCAGCCTCTGTCATGCCATGCTCCCTAAGAAAGAACCGATGATACTCATCCCAGGTGATCAGTCCATCGGCAGGTCCGATATCCACGCGCCGGAACTCTCGTACGTTGTTCATTATAGCCTCATCAATGTGCTCCACGATCCGGCGGTTGATGTACTGACCCAACTCCTGGATGGACAAAATGCCATCACGATTGCGATCGGCTCTGAAATGGTAGGTTAGAAGATTTAAGGAAATTATTTTTGAAAAACTTTTAGTTTAAAAACTTTAAGAACATGAGTATAAGGTAGCCTCCATCTTAATTAAACAGTCAATCAAAATGATATTAGAGCTGCTTCCTTTAAAATTATTTTGACTTTCCCTAAATTGAGTAACAACTGAACTGAACACTTCCTGAATAATTCCAAACGTAACTGAGTTACGGCTTTCTAATGAAATGTACATTATACATTAACACAAACCGAATGGTCTCCATGGCATTTGGCACGAATTCCCTGTTGCATACTTGTCTTGTCCCCATCCTCGTGGAACACACCTCAACCGAATCCCCAGACATTTGCCTCTGCCCCGCCGCAGAGAAGTGGTGCCACCGAAATGCTGCATATGACAGCTGTCTAATGATTTCTCAAGCCCGCAGGCAACGTTTTGCACTGCGAAAAATTAACTAAGATAAATTTTCAATATATTAATATAAGCTTTTTATATATGAGTATACTCAAGTATATATGTCTTAGCATTCAGTTATTTTTATAACCCAAAAAATAGAAATTTGATTACAAAGTTTAAATTTTTTGTAATGATTTTTCACAATCTCTCCAATCGCATTTAGCGATTATTTAACTTTATTTTATAAACATTTTTTTTAAGTGCCCCACATCTTCCGGCAATGAAGTGCGAATGCCCAGAACAGGTGTCTGATATTAAAGCTGCTTATTGGGACATGGGCTGAGGATAGGGCAGGGTAAGGATGTGGGAGTGGCAGGAAGAGGACAGCAAACCACTGGAATAATCAGCGGATGGCAGAGGAGTGAGACCAATTGTTTGTGCCTGCAAATGTGTTTGTTTGTTTGTTTGTTTGTTTGTATGAGTATATGTACGAGGATGTGGGGACACAGCGGAAACGGAAGCAGAACCAGCAGCACCAGAAGTAGAAGAAGAAGAGGAAAAGGAAGAGGCGGCCACCGCACAGTGGTTTCATTAGCATATAGTTGATAAATAAATAAAGTTGCAACTAAAACGGTTTCAAGTTGCCTCTTCCTTTATTTTGGGCCAAGAGCAACTTTGCTTCTGACCCGCCCTCCTAATTCTTCTTTACTCGGTCACGTTTTTGCTCCTACAGCTCTTCAGTTTGTGTGAAATGTATATGAGAAACGTTTGCGGTCGTTCCTGGAGTCTTTTTCAAGTGGGATCAAAGAGATGAAGCAAAGGGGGCAAGGCAGGGGGGTTAGAACGCCCGGCTAAGTCCTCGAATATATAAAAACAAAGTTTTCGAGCTTTGCGTTGCTTCCTTTGGCGTCTTCTTGTACGTGCAAGAAATTGACTTGGAAAAAAATGCGAATAGAAACAAGTTTTCCATTTTAACAGAATTCCTGCAATTGAGGCGGCTTTGAAACGCGAACCAAAAAAAAGGGGGCAAGTACACGGTTCAAAATCCCCTTTGCAATGTTGGGCGTAGGGGGAGGGAAGTAGATTTGTTACAAAGCGCAAAGTGCATTTTGCATAAGCCTGCGGTTGCACTGAAGTTGGCCAATTGCCTTTGCCACAGCCGTGATTCCTTCAATTCGCTTTTCTATTTCTATTTTTGGTAAGAGAGGGTTCCTATCTAAGGATATTTGGCCCACAGTATGCCTTGCGTAGAAGGGTTTTGAGTGGTGCATAAAACTATTATTTGATTGCATATACACCAGTCTGTGGAGAACTTGTGTTCGTATTTATACCCTCGACTCTTTCTCTTTTTCAAGCTTTCTTTCTATCTCTCTTGCTTGCTGGCCTTCTGTCCTGCTCTAACATTTCAGTTTCTGATGGCAGAAGTTAAGCTTAACTGCTGAAAATTTAATGGGATTACTTCAAACTTGATTCCGACTGTTTAGTCTAGGCTTTTTCCCCTTGAACTGCAAGTTGTAATGTCTTGGGGCAGTTGGCAAAGCCACTTTGTTTCCTCAAATTAAATATTCAAATAGTTGTTAACTTTTAGTTCTTAATCAAAGTAAAATAATGTTGCCACTTAAAGTGCAACAGAAAGCATTTAATAAGGTTTTCTAACGTTTTAAGATTTGTAATTTCTTAATAATTAACTCAACTATGAATGCCAAATAGATAATAGGTCTTTATGCTTTAGGTCTTTATATTACCAACTTAATTGAGACTTATCATATAGATCTCCTTTGTGCATAGTTTATCATTTCAATCAGTTTGCTCAATCAATTTCATATTGCGAATCTATCGAGCGAATTAAATTTAATATTATTAAAAAGTTTCAACCTCATTACAGAATGTAAAATAAGTATTTCCAGCAAGTCAGCATAAGCCCTTAGGTGTTAACTTTTTGAAAATAGAAAAAAAAAGAGGAGAAAAGCATAAATCACATTACCGCACTACACACTTTGCTAAACGCACTAACAACAATAGGAAAACTCGAGTGAAAAAACTTTTCCGCGTGTTGCGCGCAAACTTTTGGCCAAAGTTTATTGCATACTTTGGTGCGTTCGCACAGAGAAAAAAAGAGAGGGAAAGCGCTGAAAAAGAGACAGAGAAAAAGAGGAAGTGTGCAATTTTAGCAGAACGCCCAATCAATGAGGGTAGCATGGTAGCTCGGGGGGCGTGGCAGGCTGCGGGTGCCGCAGGGAGGCCTAATTGGATGCAAAAGTCAGCCTGGACACGGACACGAAACGGAGGACACAGGACATTAGCCCGCCTCACTGGTCGATTCGGTCATGCATGGGGAATGAGATTGGAACTGCAAAACTGCCAACTGTCGATGTCATGTGGCTGGCCACAGGGAAGCCAGGGTAGAGGTCGAGGAGTAGCAGGGCGTGCCATGGCTTACAATTAAAATTTATAACAATGTCCCTTTCAACATCCAGAGACGAGGCGACAGTTGCAGATAAAATTTAATTGCTCCTAAAAATGAACAGGACACCCATATAGGAGAGCGCCGAATCTCACGCCCACTGTCAACCGCATTATTAAAATGAAATTTACATACGAAAAGAGGGGGTTCAGCGAGGTCATTTGGGCCATTCACAAAATGATGGCTATTAATTTCAGGCAGCAGCGCAATTATCACAACATTTTCTGGTCACTTTAATTGCAGTTTAATGCAAAGGCGACAAGTGGAAATCGCCACATAACTCACATTTACACCCAAGGGGACCTTAAAGATCCAACAAACAATAACAATTTAAGGCCATATTTAGTGGCTGGTTTAATTGCTCTTTGCCGGAATTTGAATTTGATTTAAACTCCATTGTTCGTCGTAATTCAAAATGTATTTTGAAACTATTTCGGGGTCAGGCAATGAAAATTCTATGCAAATAATTTTAATTTCGTCTGAGTAGAAATTCAAATGAATTTCAGCTCCCCCGGGTGTCGATGGTTTTAAATGTTATCTCTTGTCAAATATTAATAAAGCCTGTGTAAATATGTGCGTGGAATATATATACATTAAATAAACAAATACCAACATTGGTGAAAATGGCAAATCCGTTTACGCCCAGATTCCTGTCCAACCCGCAAAGTAAAATGCCCGCCCTAGAGAGATTTCCATGCTGACCTCCCACTACCTCACGGAGATGGAAAAACTTTGGTGTCGGTACCTCTGATTCCCATTTGCTGTAAGCCCTCCTTTTCCTCCTCTTTATGTTTACTGAGGAACACTACTGCACCGGTGGCTGGTCTGCTGATGGACAGCTTTCTGGATGATGCCTCTGAGGGATTTCAACTGGTTATCATAAGTGCCCAAGGTCGTTAGGAAATGAAAGGTGGCAAAACGGAAGCACTGCCCATGGCCTTAAGCCAAAATGAGAGAAAATGCGATGAGGTGAAAGCATCGGAGCACTTAAGAGACTAGCTGGAAGGCGGGAAGGAATGTGGAGCTTCAAAAGAGATCAGTGGAAGGATAAGTGGTAAGGTTCTTTAACCTTTTCCATCACTGTAAAGTTTTTAAAGAGAAAGTTATGAAGACTTCTTTGTTAAGAACTTTAAAATTATTTATATAAATCAATTTATTTATGTTTTATATTTGGAAATAATATTCAAGATTTAATAGGTATATTTGCGTAGCTAAACAAAGTTCAATGATAAGCCCTTCTTTCACCTTACCTTTCAACCTTTCTTTTTAATTCCCACCTTCAGAGCATCCAGTTTTTCCTTTTTCACAATCAAATCTCACAAGTTCTCTCTTTCACTTTGCATCAAACTTAATTGAACTAACATAAAGTCCCATTAGAAGCAAAGGTAAGCAGGATATCTCTGTTGGCATTTATAATCCTAGAAGAGTTTTGCCCCTCGAGGTCACAGTCAGACATTCTTAAATCGGAAAATCCGAACCGCAGTTGGGAGATGCTTTTCTACTATATTATTTATTGAATTGAAATGAGTTTTGCCAAAAGACGTTTAAAGTTTACCCAACCGCAACTTTGACTCCTTTCACTGGCTAAAGGAGGCCAAAAGTTTTCGGTTCGGCCCAGGCGTAAGCATAGAAGTCGAATAAATATGAAGCTGCAGTGACAGTTTGATTTCCCTCTGTTATTTGCCCCAAATTTATTTTCTTTTCCACATTCTTTCCTTTTCAACACCTCAAGTTTTATTTTCATGTTTGCCATGGCAGAGTTTTCATTTTTTGTTGGTAAAATTCCTGGCATACTGACTGCTTGATTACCCTCCGCAACCCAAAAAAAAAAAAAAAAAAATTTACCCCAGAGCATCAAATTGCAATTTTGCCCAGGACCATGACTGGAAACTTTTCAGTTTCCGTCTGAGCACCTCCAGACCCCGAAAACGTTGGCCAAAACCATCAACTAATCTATTACGACCTTCAGTGTAGCCAAGTAATTGGCCAATTGCCTAATCGCTTGTGCAGGACCTGAGACCGTTTTATATACCTTGTTTAAGTAATTAGGGGAATAGTGCAAGTCAGGCGGATGGAAATCAGGAGAGCTTCCGGCAAACCAATTACGAGATGGCATAGGTCTGAGATTGGAAAAGGTCATTTAAGTGGGGAGTTTATTAAATGCATAAATTCCTGATAAATATTCCACCCACTCTTTGGGCTTAAATACTTCTTGTTTTTTGAATAGACGAACTTTACAATCAATATTTATTATCTTCGCATAGCAGCCAGCTTGTAATTCGATTATCCTGATTGCTCGTTACAAATCTCAGTCCTTGTCCTCATTGATCCTAACCTTGCCGGCGACAGAATATCCATCCATCAATTCCAGCTGCTTTTGCTATTGCCACTAATTTTTACAATTTGTCGTACAACAAAGTTATGGAGGAAATGGGATTTCAAGAGGAAAGGGAGTGCGAGTTCTCTGAGGGGGCGTTGAAAGCCGCAGGCAACATCGTTATGCGCAACAATAAAGAAGCCACCGAACTAGTGCCAAATTATCAACCGAACTAACCGAGGCCCACGACCAAGGCCATAACTCAATGAGAGGGGAGGGAGGGGAGACGACCGGTCCAAAACTTACCGTTTGAAAGCTTTTGCCAGTATTTGCTTCTCATTCACATTGCTGGCCGCTAAAATAACTGTTTCTGGCTGGTTAGGGGATTTGCTGGCATTGCTGGCAGCCGCACTTTGCACTTTTTGGGGATTGTGTTGGGGATGGCGCTGGTCCTGGTGCTGCTTCTGGTGATACTCATTCCCCGAATCAAAATTGTTTTCTACGGGCTGAGACCTCAGCTTTTCCTCATGTTTTTGTTGCTCTAGTTCCTGTAGCGAATTCGGCCAACGTTGGGCACCATTATGTCCCACGTTGGGCGCCATTTTTGTGTCTGCCTGCGTGCTACTGCTACTGCTGCTGCTACTGCTGCTGCTGCTGCTGCCCCTGCTCCTTTAGCTGGTGCTGCAGCCTCTGGCTGGTGCTGTGCAGGATCAGGCCAATGAAGAACATATAAAACAAAATTGCGCACAATGTCGAGCAGCGGAGCCAGCGGAAGCTTTTGCTCAGCTTGTTAACGAAAGTCATTTTGTTGCCGCCGCCTTCGTCCTCGTCCTCGTCCTCGTCCTTTTCGTTCTCGTTATCGTTGTTGTTGTCGCTGCCACCACCGCTGGACAATAGATGGCAGTGGAGTGGCTGATGGCGATGATGGTGATGGCGATGGCGACTGGGAGGCGGTCGTCTTGGTGGTAATGGTGGTGGTGGCGTTGATGGGACCAGCTCTAGGTTCTGGTACACCGACTCCTCCTCCTCGGACCACTCGGCTTCCGGCTCTTGCTCCAACTTGGACCGCAGCTTTCAGGACTCGTTGCGTGTAATTTGCAGTAATTTCTGTTCACTCCTCGCCGCCGACGTCTCCTTCTTCGTATGCTTTCTTTGCGTTTTGAAGCCAGTTGCTCGGGCTGTTCCTGTTGCTGGTGTTCCTGGTGATGTTGTTGTAATTGTACATTAATTGACTTTTATGTTGCAACCAGCGACAGGCAGTCAGAACGTTGTGTGGGCCCGCAGCGGTTGATGGTTCTACTTGTGCAATTTGTATCACTGTGGCCACGCCCCAGCTGCCGCACGCCTTTTTTATATATACATATATAAGTAGTTAGTGTCGGGGCGTCGGAGTAACAACTTCTAATACCAATTTGATGCGTTATTGCCTTTCGCACGATTCCCATTTCCTTGATTCCGGGCCACCAGCATCTCGTCTGCATTTTACACCAATTTTACATGATTGTTAGGAGCGCCATTTCCATTATGTGCGCTGATAATGCTGATGACGATGGGTCCTGCGGAGCAGAAGGGAAAGAAGAGGAAATGGATTTTGCATGAGTAAAGTTAAGGAAATCGTTTCTCATTTCGAATTCGGGTCAATGGGTAGCGAAATTTATTGTCACTAAGTCAGAGGGTTTTAAATGCAATCGAATTTTAAATTTAAAGCAATTTGAAAAGAGCTCAGAAGAGTCATGAGAAGTACTAGTATTAAAAACTAATGTTTGTGTAGTAACATTGTTTAAAGAAAATCCTCATGTTTTTAGGTCACATCACAAAGTGAAAAACATGAACATTTTACGATTTTCCTTGACACGTTGCCATTCTTTGACACATTTTATTCCTTGTTAGCTTTTTGCAAATAATTTGCTCTTTTTAGAGTGGCCACTTTACTCAAGAATTTATGTTCTACAGTCGAGTGTTCTCCCCATTCAGCTTTCACATTTACCCCACAAAGTTATTAATTAGCCATTGCAAAAATCTTTTTACTCACTTCAATGGCCTCTCAAGGGGGCCAATCAAAGGCAACAGGAGTAGGGGTTTCAGCCATTAAGCAGCCAACGAGCGAATTAGAAAGTCCCATAAATTTCCCTTCGTTCTCATTATTGAAGTAGAGGGATTCTCAACTGGGTGGCGGAGGGGTTGGAGGTGAAGTGAAACGGGGTTCTGCCATAAAATGGGGCCAACCTAATGACTTACATAATAGGATGTACTAAAACAGAAGTCGTAAATGAGATCGGATGAGATGAGAGTTCAGATGAGATGAGAGTTCAAATGGCCAGCGCCTAAGCCATGAGATAAGTAGTTAATTTTAATGGTAAAAACATAAAATTCTCCATGTCGGCTGTCATTAATGTGGCCACATAAACAGATTTCCATGGCTGGAGGGTAGTAATTTGAGCTCGTGACGGATTTAATGAACGAAAAATCAGGATCAGGCATATATATAAAATGAAAAAATATATTCGTGTAACGTATTTATCAAGGTTTTCCCCTGATTTACACTTTAATTTAATATTTACTCAGACTTATTCAACTTTCATGGAAAACTCAAGCCCGCTGAACTGTAATCCATTGAAAGTGGAATTGCTTGTCAACATTTGCCATACCGATTTCCCTTTGTAAGAGTAATTTAATCAGATATTTACCCCTGTATATGTCCTCATATATATTTATGCCATATCTCATTCAACGAAAGCAAAATCGATGGAAATTCACACGACTCGACTCTCTACTCTCCACTCATATTCAATTCGATTTGACTTACTGACTCAATTTGCGTTTCTGAATATGTTGCACACATGTGTTCATGGCTCCGTACATTTGTGTGAATTTTATGATCTCACTTGCTGTTGTTTTTGTTATTGGCCTGGTCTGTTGCCATACTTTTTAACGCTATTGTCTCGCGTCGTTTACTTTTGCTTTCGTTTCGATGGCTGCTCTTGTCTTTGTACCACTCTTGTTTTTGCCTTTTATTGACCAACAGAAAACCAGTTGAGCATCTTTTAAAACCCACGATGCACTTGGAGAAAAACCGGCTTGTACGTGGGGGTGCCTTTGGGCTTCTAATATTTATTGGGCGGGTGCAACACAAATCCACTATTGCGATGAAATCACTGAAAAGGTTGTCTAAAAGTATGTGGTAAAAAGAGAAAGGCCTTTTCCTGGAATAATTTTATTAGATTTTCTGATTTAACGTATTTTGTTGCCTACTTTTAGGCAACCCGATTAAATATTTGAAAATATTGTCTGCGGAATAAGACTATAGCCTAGATAAAATCATTTCGTTTTTGTAAAACACAGTTTTATCTTATGAAAAATGTTTCACCACATTTTAGTTTTCAGTGTATATACACTGGCTTACACTCATTTAAACACTCAGAAAGCTATAAGCGAGTTGCAGATGTTTCATTCAACGCCGTGGCGACTATTGTCTTCTGCTGGCCAGCTATGTACATTTGGCCAATGCCATTCGTTGTTGCCATTTTTACTGTTTGTCCGTTTCATTTCTTTATTTTGACCGTTTCTGTTTTTTATTAACTGCTTCTACTTCGGCTCCGACGTTCGCATTCGCTTTTGTTTCTCCCTTTTAGCTGCAGCTTTGTTTTATGTCTCTGTGAACTTTTGTTGGTTATTAGCTTGTCCGCACTCCCAAACAGATGGCATAGGAGAGAGTAAGAGAGTGTAACAAACAAAAAAAAAAAAAAAGAAAGAGAGATGGGGAAAAAAGTTGGTAATAAATTTTTAATGAAATTTCTGTGCAACCTTAATGAAAATCGACCAGAGAGAAACAGAAAGATAGAGAGAGAGAGAGAGAGAGAGAGGGAGAAAAAGGCAGAGACAAATGGATGAACACTTTTGACTAGGAAGAAGATTTTTTAATCAAATTTACGTTCATATCGGGAAATCAAATCCAATTAGCAACTTTATAAGAACTTTTCATTTTGCATTTGCCCCAAAACCATCTCGGAGGCAACAAAGTGGATCTGCTTCAGTTACTGCTCATTAAAAGTGTCCCCCACGCAATGGAGATTGTTATAAGGATTCATGCTGAACGCCCGCTTTAAGGAGGCAACACCCCTTAATCCCTCTCTTGCCCCAAAGATAGTGTCAATATCAATAAAAATCGATGATGTAGCAAAAAATGCAGGGTGGTAAAAAGCGTAGAAAGAAATGGGAGTTAAAAAAATGCGTTAAACTTTATTGCAAAACTATTGCCAGACAAGTGGCACAGAATGTTGCAAGAAGGGGTGAACGGTGGGCGTTGGGTGGGTTATATCTGCCTGGAAACTCAGCGATAAGCTCTAGATGGTTGCACAAGTTTAAAGATTTGATTTCGGAAAAGCTGCGCCGTCGACATGAGAACTACTAAGGGGAATTCCACGATTCGTTTCTGCCACCTCCCCACCCTTTGAACCATTACAAATCGATGATAACGATGACGATGATGAAATGTTTGCTCAACCATTGATGGATCTATCCCAGTTGGTTGAAGGCTGCTGTTTGATGCGAAGGGGGTGGAGGATTGTTGATTGGCCAGTCGAGATGGGAGATTTTGCACAGTTGAGGGATAGCAGTTTCCCCATCAGAATGTTTGTTTACGCCAAGAGAAATGCAGTTCGCAGCAGCACAAAGATAACTTAAATACTCCTGGCTCAAGAATGTTTGAGCAATGTTGGAATTAAGGAGAGAGTGAGGCTAATCTGGGTAGAAACAGCGCCCAGATATCGACAGAATAGAAAAGGTAGTGCATTCTCTGAAAGAGCTCCCCTTGGAATTAAAGCCCTGAAGGAGCTTAAATCGGTTGTGTACGGTGGCTTGAATTTGTTTAAATTTCTTTTGCATTTAAGTTTTGAATGAGTTGAAAGTCAATTTCAATTCAAGCTTTTAAATGAAATTTAAATAGAGAAGAAAATCAAATGATCCAAGGATGCCAGGAGGCAACAAAATTTAAAAGTGAATGTCTTTCCTGCCTATTAGCATATAAACTGCATTGCATTTCAATTATTTGATCTTACGAAAACTTTTATTTCATTTTCTGGCATTAATTGGCAGTTATTTCATCAGCTACTGCCAAATTTCAATTACAATGCCATCAAGAACAACAAACAAAAGAAATTGCCTGTATTGAAATTTGAAAATTTAATATACTACCAAGTACTTAAAGGCCTAAGGCCCTTGGAGCTTCCTCAAATCACAAGCAAAATAGACATCATCCACTGAGCAAACATACAATTTGAAATTCATGAATTTCTCCATCCATGTCACTTTCAATTTGTGCAGAAATATGTAAACGCAGGCGATGGCTAATCAATTGCATTAATTATGAATAACTGCAATGGCAAACTATCTCCATATCAAAACTCTATCTGTCTATTTAGCTCGTTTCTATTTCTATCCGTAATTGAACATCAACAAAATCACTAAAAACCAGGCAATAGTGCCAACGGGCAATGTGGCTAAAAACCATGGCAACGGCCAAAAACAACAAACAACAAAAATTCCATAAAATATGCATAGGAAAATCCATTTCAATTTTTTGCCCATAACAATTTTCGAGACTCTGACATTTCAATTAAAACTCCAAACGATTTGATGAGCAATGATGACGATGATAATAATGTTGATGTTGCGAAGGATTAAAATAGGACCAAAACACCCAAAATTATTTGAATGGGGGCGGCGGGCAATGTTGATAGATTTAATTTAACTTTTTAATGAACTCGAGTTTAAGCCGCCCAGCATTTATTCCAATTAGCAAAAGATTTGTTTCTTTTTTGGGATTAGGATTAAGCCATATGCTTTACGAAATTGTCTTTCCGTTTAAGTCTGTTTTTAAATCGTTTTTATCAGATTCTTTGGGTGATACCCATGCATTTTTTTGAGGCCATAATCAACTCTTCTTTTGGCCAAAGTCAAAGCTGGCCCACTTGCAAATGTACGAGAATGTGTGCGAGTGTCGGTTGGCAGTTGATGTGTGCGAAAACTGCACTCAATCAGTGCCAAGCAAACAACCTGCAACAATCAGCCAGCAACACCAACAACCACCAAATGGAAAGCGGCGGGGAAAAGAGCAGGAAACAGACAAATAAGTTGATTTGTTTGTTGTTTGTAGAGAATGAAAATGCCGAAAAAGCGCACTGCCAATGCAAATACCCACCAGAGAGATGAAAAGATGGCTAACCAAAATGGTCAAGAGGAATTTGGGATGCTCTTTAAATTTCAAGTCTGCACTAAGAATATTTTTCTTTGAAAAAAGAAGAAATGGGATTTCATGGACTAAATTTAGCAGATTTCCTCTTTAAGTTTAAGTTTCGTTAATTTAATAATATAAAATATTTAAAATTTTAATTTGTTTACATAAATATTATTTATTTAAATAAGTAAGGAGATAAAATAAAAATATGAATATTTACTTTTGCAATTAAAAGATTAAAAGATTCTGTAAACAATTTGCGCTTTTATCCTTTCTTTATTTATTTAAAACAAAGTCAACACATTTTTCCGTTTATTAAAAATAACCAAATTAATTTTCCCAAACATTTTTAAAGAGTACAACAATAGAGAGATTTTCGTAATATGTTTTTTCTGGCGATGGCGCATACAAAAAATGGCAACTAAAACAAAGCTTCTTTGTCTGCCAGGACAAGCATCGCGTATACGCAGCGTGGCCAGCGCAATGCAGAGCAATTGCTGTGACAGCGGAGCAGCAGCAGGTGGCATCAGCATCACCATTAGTCCAGCAATGCTCATGGACAGGAGGGCAAGGATAGCTGGCGAATGAGCAATTCCCTGACCTGGCAAAGTGCACAACAAAACTGGGGATGCACTTGAATGCAAAAGCCTCGACCTGAGGACAAACAAATGATTGCAGACGCATGCACACAGTTGGCATTCGGGGGAGGGGGGAGAAAGGACATTGGCACTCCTGGTTGTCACTCACCTCCACACGTCCACGCCCTGTCAGTCAGGAAGCGATGTCAGTTGGTGGATTCAGGACCAGTTCCCAGGACAACCACCGACCCGAAAAGGAGTTCATCTCGCATTTTTGCACAAATTTACAGACTGGATTCCCTTGTACCGACGAGGCATTCATATGTAAATAAGCTTTTATTAGGTGTTCCCTGGCTGGCGAGTGGATGGAAACGAGAATGGAACTGAACCCAAGCGGCAATGGCAACCGACATTGGGGAAAATGCGGAATGGATATTGGAGTCTGAGTTGCATATTGATTGCTGTTTGGATTATTGAATTGATTGTCCCTCGCTTTCCTTTGCCCATCTTGGCTATTCTTTTGCCTCTTTTAGTAGTTCATCTTGGTAATAGAGCTATACGAATTTTTCCAATTTGCGTTTCCTTTACTTAAATATGTAATTCAGTTTTAATTAACATTGAGCTTTGTTTTTGGCAACTCCAAATCTACTGACATTGATGGATGGTTAAAGTTCCAAAAACTCAACTGCATAGCTAAGAAGATAAGTTTCCTACAGCCCCGGAAAATCAATCAAATTGGACATTTCTGTGTGTTCAGGGGATGAGTAACGAAAACAGATTGCCTTAGCTCTCGGATAATTACTGCAAAGTGGATTAACTAAGCTAATCCCAGCTAACCACCAGATGTCTAACTCACACTACCAAACAAATGAGATTACCATTAAACCGTATTTATTATTTCATCATTGGGAAGGGAAGGGAGCTTGGTTTTATTCAAACATTAACCCATGTTTAATTGCAATTTGATTGGGCTTAATCTGAATTTGTATCAAAAACAGAAAAGTAAAACATGAAAAACTCATTTGCCTCCCCCGCCTAAATCAATATGTTTCGAACACAGAGAAAGGTCTAATTTGGTACAGCACTGCGTATGCGTAATATGATTTTCATGCCTTTGCCCGCACATTTCATATGCCCTTTATCTAAGCTACAACATAGTATTGATTTACCACCAAATACATTTCTAATTATATTTAGTTTTGGGAAAGAGGAGGGGTGAAATGCTGACTGTTTTTCATGGCTCGAAATTGCAATTCGAACATTGGCAATAAAACGCGATTACCTTAACCGGTTGCATTTTAGCACTGCCAAAACAAAGTTTTCGGCAATTGAAACATTTAGTTAAGCCAGAAAGAGATAGAGAAGGAGTTATAAAAGATAGAGAGACATAAAAAAAAGATAGCGAATTAGATGGCTAGCCAAAGAGCGAAAGAGACGGGTCACGATTGTCGTTTTGCCAGTTTTTGTTTACGGCTGTATAAAAAGTGAAAGTGCACTTCAAGCCAACGGGCCAAGCAGACTGCTTATGCATATAGATACAGACATATATAAAATGCCACATGTCATCATATATGTATATATATATATATATACATACGCTTGTGTTGGCTTGTAATTTGAACTGCAACTGTAGATGTGAGCCGACATTTAAAAGTAACAGACACTTGAGTCGAGCTAGAAATGTCAGGCCTGGAAAACGGTGGGTGACAGGGGGTTCTAAAGTGGGTGTGCAGATGGGTGTTAAGGCCATCTAACTGGGGGATTCCCCCACGAATGAATATACAAGAGACTGCTCATGTATGTGTGTGTGTGTTGCGCGCTGACGTTGGTGTTGGGGCAACAATAAACCGTAGGGTAGTGCAACAAATGCATGAATAAACAACAACTCAATTTGAATAAAGCAACAGCAGCGCAGTCGACGTCGGCAGAGGGCTTGTCAGTGGGCAGTGGGTGGTGTCAGGTGGCAGGAGCCAGGTGGGTGGTGTATGGCGGTAGGTGTGAAATGTAAACTGAAGCTCAGCTTTAAAGTCCACTAAGCCTCAAGTTGCCGGTTCGGATTTCACACATTTTTCTTAAACTTTAAAGACAGCTGCAAGCTCTTGAAAAAATACTTAAGCTGCTTTACATAAATTAAATATTTTAAATTTTTAGTTCATACAACTTTTATTATAAATAATAAAACTAAATTGGACATCGTAAATTTTATAAATAATCGTTAGTGTGTATCAAAACGAAGACTTTTAAAGAATTCCAAAGTATTAAAACCGCCTAAAGCTTGTTTACAATGGTTAGTTAAACGTTTTAAATATGTAATGGGTTAAACAGGATAATTAAAATACAGATCAATAAATTAAGTATTTATAGGGTTTTCCTTTTTCACAAAAGGTGTGGATAAGCACACACTTACAAGCTTAAAACAGTGTTGAGTTATTTATTTAAAAGTTTTAAATTGTTATAATTAATCATTCAAAGAAAAGTTATTCGAAACTATAAAGGCTTTCTAGCAGATATAAAAGTTTATAATTTAGATGAAATATATAAATCGATTCTAACGAAAGATAAAATAACTATTTTCTATATGATTTCTATAAATTGTCACGGGATTAATTATTTCGAAACCCCCAAACTTCATTAAACAATTTTAGTAAATCAATAATTTATTCAACTTTGCTTGCACAAAAAACTTTAATTGGCTTTTTTATGTATATAGAAAATAGTTTATTTGTTATATATAAAATATATATATAATTATATAGAAAAACAGCAAAAACAGTGCGGTTTTGCAAACTTTTTCATAGCCAAAATCAAGCTCTGGCCGGGTGTTTATGTAAAATGGAAAACGGATTTTGGCTTCGCTGCAAAAACTGGTTGGCAGCTTTTCGTTCGTCTTGCGTTTATTGCATACAACAATTGATTTTCGTCAGACGCAGGGAAAGGGCGGGACGGGGAAAATGCAAATGAAAATGGCAAAGTGTTCAGCGAAAGAGCGGGATGGATGGATGGATATAGTGGGGCAATATATGTAGTTCCAAACAAACTTCAAATTGGCGAACACAAAAGCAGCTCTCAGGCACACACACACACATTTACTGCGACACATTTTACATAGTCAGACAAGTGGGTGGGTGGTTGAGTGGGTGGTAGAGTTAGTGGGTGGTTGGGTGGCGCCACCTGCGGACTGGGCGACTGCAACAAAAATGACAAACGTGCTTTTGATAGACTTGTTGACGACAAGCTCCTGGCACTTGGCAGCTGTCATCCGCAGCCCAGAAACGGCCTGACGTCCTCACACACGCAGGCACTACACCAAAAAAATGGTCACAAGTTATAGTTTCAAGGAGTTTGTAGATGTTATTACCCCAAAACCAAGAAATTTTGCCTAACTTTTTTTTTGACACAAACTAAATAAAGCGTCATTCGTATAGGACTAATTCAACTATATTTAAATACTATATGATACTCAAAAATAAATTTAAAATAATTTTCTGATCAAATTAGACTTAATTAGAATTGCGATTAACTATTCTAACTTTATTAGATAATAAATAAGATTAAAAACACTTCTTAATAGGCTAATACAATTTTATTTTTTTAAGAATTATTACAGGTTATATAATTAATATTCAATATCACATTTTTAAGTACATTTTCATTCAAAATTTAACAACATTTTAAACTATTAAATTTCTCTCTGTGCATTTGGGTTTATTTTTGATGTCTGGTCTTGTTTGTTAGCATATGAATGCGGTTGTGGCAAGGTGAGGAAGTTGGGAATTTTGTAAGCAGTTTTATGGTCAAACCGATTAATAAATAATGCCCAAAATCAATAGGATGACTCCTTGCAACGGCCATTTTTACGGCCGACACCGCCATTCATTTAATATTGCATATGTGTGCGGCTGAATGTATTTTGTGGTCCAATCTTGGTGATTGCAATTACAATTACAATCCACTTTGGTAATCAATTTGTTGTGTTTATTATGGCCACGGTTCATGGTTGCTGGCAGCAACAGTAACGAAAAAAATCTCAAAAAACTATACCCTATATTGCACTCACTTTTGCTTTCGGTTTTGTTTTGCTGCCCGTTTCTTGGGCTAGTTTTTTTTCACTTCTCTTTTTTGACTTGGTTTACGCGCGCGGGAAAGAACGAGATGACGTCGTAAGTTTCGTAAACGTGTTTTTGTTATGACCCAAAACACAGATGACGCAAGTCTGGCTTACCGAACACGTCCGATTCGCAGCGCCAGCAGCAACATACTGGCTTTGTTTTGGCCAAAAACATGCCAAGCGGGCCCGAAGTGGCCAACAAAAAAAAACGAAAGTGCAAGCGAAGCCGACAAGTTGTGCGTTACTTCATAATAATTTTAATGAATTAAAATAACTTTTACTTTTACTAACAGTATTTAAATCATATTTTATTGGAAATAATATATTCGTTTTGTCTACTGTCACATTAAATTTTTAGGAGTTTTAAAGCTAAACCGGAAAAACATTTTGAATTTTTGAATTTCGATGGACCTCAATCCTGGTACGTTAGAAAAAGTGTTGGTAAGATAAATCGATAAGCGATTGTTCAGATGAACTAGTTCCAGAAGCGATAGTCGATAGGCTTATCGCTCTGCGCGAACCAGTTTACCTATAAAAACAAACTCATTTCTCACACAAAAAATACTTAAAATTGAATTTTAAACACTTTTTAGTCTTATTTTTGATATAACAACCTATCTAAATTATGCCTGTGTAATGCTAGAAAACATATCGTTGTGTGTCTTCAAGATCGAAACGGATTTGGAGCCGAGTGCAGGTAAAATTGATAGGAAGAGCTCCAGCAGACAAAGAAAATGCATTTCATCACAATTATTTATTTTTTTGTAAATAGATTCCGAGGGAGCCGTGTCCGCCGAACATCCCACCAATCCCCGAGTGCTTAAAGAGAGAGAGCGCGATCGCGGACTTCGCCAGTCTCGCGACATCATCATCGAAACCTACACCAACCAGCGTTGGACACGGGAATTGAGTGCTCCAAAGGATCAAAACACGGAGGGCAATAAGATGAATTGGGCGGCTGCACTGCAGCACGTCAACAGCCCCACGGCAGGCAGTTCCCGGGAAACAACACCACGGAGCGGGGATGAAAACCAGGTTGGAGGTCCGCAGGTCACCTCCTCGAAATTTCCCCAAGAGATCGGCTACTTTTCCGGCAATCCCATTGTTGAGGTAACCAAGGGCCTCATTCATCTCTACAAGAAAAAGTAGGTTTCATTGTTTTATTTTGTATTATATCCAAAGTAATGAGCAAAAATTTTTATTCTTTAGCGAACGCAAGGCCATCAAGGAGGCTCCTTCTAACCAACTCTGCCTGCTGGCTGTGCCAGCCACTCTTAACTGCCACGATCTGCTGAACTTCATCGCTCCCTGTCATGCGGAGATCAAGCACGTTCAGATTGTCCGAGATGGTAGTCCCAATCAGTTTATGGTACTACTTGAGTAAGTTCGAATCAAGAGAAACAAAAACATTGTATTTCAAATTGCATTTTAAGATGTACAAAAGCAATGCAAAGAAGTGAAAAATCGTTTATACAATCACTTTTACTTTTTTTTAGATTCCGCTCGAATGAGTCAGCTTTGGAATTTTACAAGTCCTACAATGGCATTGCCTACAACTCTCTAGAGCCAGACTCGCTTTGCCATGCAGTCTGGGTATCGGCGGTCGAGAGGAGCGAACATGGAGCACCTCCAATGGGACACACAGAACTACCGACTTGTCCAGTCTGCCTGGAGCGAATGGACGAAAGTGTAGATGGCGTGCTGACCATATTGTGTAATCATGCCTTTCACGCCAGCTGCTTAATGAAGTGGGGTGATTCAACCTGTCCAGTGTGCCGCCATGTACAGACGCCCGAGCTAGTTGAGGATTCGGTTTGCATGGAGTGCGAGGGCACCGATTCGTTATGGATATGTTTGATTTGTGGACATGTAGGCTGCGGGCGCTACCAGGGTGGCCATGCTGCTGCCCACTACCGGGCCACCAATCACACCTTTGCCATGCAGTTGGGCACCTCAAGCGTATGGGACTATGCTGGCGACAACTTTGTACACCGATTGTTTCAAAACAAATCCGATGGCAAGTTAGTGGCCTCCCAAACAGAGAAAGATGAGCGAGAGGAAAAGATCGACTCAATGCAGATGGAGTTTACTTACCTATTGACCTCGCAGCTTGACACACAACGCAAATACTATGAGGAGCGTATGGAGAGGCTAGAGCAGGAGTGGCAGAACTTCAAGGCAAACGCTAATGAGGCAAAGACCGAGGTCTCCGAACTGCAACAGCTGCAGCAGACCATGCAAAAAGAGAAGGTGAACTTGGAGCGCAAGCTGGCGCAGCATACCACCAAGTAAATATTGAACACACTTTAGTTTTTATAAATATTAACTAAATTTTGTCCTTTCAGACTTAAAGAGGTTCAGAAGCAACTTAACGAAGAGCGGGAGTTGTCGAAGGCTTTGCAAACCAACCAGAGCTCCTGGCACGGCAAATACAAGATCTTGGAACAGCAGTACAATGAGTTTAAGCACAATCACGATGCCGAGGTCACCGATCTCAAAGAACAACTTCGAGACGTTATGTTCTTTCTGGACAATCAGCAGAAGATGGCCAACTCAGAGCTCGCAGGCGCATCTATCACTGGCATTGGGGAAAAAGAGCCGGATCCAACCTCCAGGCGTGGGAATCGTCGCAAGAAGTAAATCTAACACCTACCTATCATATACCATTCACACATAAATGTATTTTGATTCGAGCTGCATTGTTTAGCTGATCTTAAAAGGCTATGCAAACCGAATATATAAGATTAATAACAGCTCTATATGTGATTTCCTTTGTGAAGCAAAAAACCCAAGGATATAATATCTAGTGTACGTGTACTATTATTTTTAAGCTAATGGAGATGTGTCTAAAATGTATTGCGATTTTATTTCGAATTGATTAAAAGTTTCTGAAGAAATCTACGACTTGTCATTTTAAGATTAATTTTGCATATTTTAATAATATTTAAACTTAAATTCCAAGATTGCGAGGTACTTGTTAAGCTAAATTTTGTCAATTGAAAGCAATCATTTTTCTATTTAACTAAAAGAAGTCATTATTCAGGTGCAGGACAAGTATCCTCGCAGTGGAAAGTGGGGTCCGAAAGCACCTGCAGCTGCCCTTCAGGATCTGCTTGGAAAATATCCAGCTTCTCCTTCATATCCTGCTCGTTGCGATCAAGGTTCATTAGATAGGCGGCAATGAAGGCCCGCGGATCCTGCGGCGAATGAATGTGCAGCTGAGCAAAAGCTCGCACCAGGACATCGCCCATCTGTTCCTTAATATCGTTGGCCATCGTATCCACGGATTCGACGTTCTTGCCCTGTGGTAGCCAGTCATAGCCCTTGAAGCAACAGCACTCGCAATGACCCTTCGGATCGGAGTCTTTTAGAAGCTTAAAGAAGGGCTCCAACTCTGATTCGCAACTTTTCAGCTTAGCCACCTCTCGAACGAATCGCTTGTGTAGATCGCACACGTCCTTCTCGCAGCCACGTATAACCTCAGCATCCTGGGAAAGGGCGGCTGTGCGCTTAATATAGTCCACAGTGTTCTCGTGAAAGGATTTAAATTTGCACTTCTCCTCGTTGTAAGCATACAGGCACTGCCGTGCATAGATGATAATGTTGTCCCGCCTCTTTCGGATCTCCTCACTTCGCTTGGTTAAATGCCTTTTCACCTCATCCAAACTGTTGATCCGCTGGGCAAATTTGGTTACATCTTCCACGCTCTCGCAAACCACCTTGCCTTTCTTCTCGTGACCGCACTTTATGTTCGCCTTGTCAATCCTGTCCAGCTCTGCCTTCAGCTCCAGCTGAAGATTCCGAAGTTCTGTGTTTAGACGCTTTACATCGTTATCATTGCAGATCAATGCCTGCAGCATCTCGTGCAGGCAATTCTTGTGGGGATTGGGCAGCTCATCGGGGCAGCCGGCTAACATTTTAAAGGATTTAACTTGATAAAAGGGTCGGACTATGAAAATATGGATTTGTTTTTCTGAATTACTCTTTGCTGATGCTTGTAACAGTTTACTGAGATTTCACAAGGTTTCAAATTATTTCTGAAAATTTATAAACTAATACTAGAACTTGATATTTAAACTATATATATTTTTAGTTATAATTAAGCTCGGTATTCTTAAATTACATAATAAATGTCTTTCATAGTTGAGAAGGTTAAAATCGTCAATTACCTTTTGAAAACTTTTAAAGTATTAGAATATGTTTTGGACTTTTATATTTAGATTAATTTCAGCATAATATCAAAGCTGAAATTTATATATTTTGTTTCTTATTATACATAATTCCTTATAAAAATAAAAGTATTTATTTAACTATTTCTTTTTGCTGTGAATCTGTAGAAAGTTTTCTGTGTTTGTATTAAAAATTTGGTAATAAGGTTTTACCCAAATGTCCTAAAATAAAACCATTAATTACACTTATTTCTTATAATCTCTATAAGATATTGTACAAGAGTAAAACTGTAAATCGTTGTAGCACCAATAAAGTTTAAATACTTCAAAAACTTGTAAATAGAAGCACATAGAAACTAGAAAAACGAAGCTCATTCTTAGCTAGAAATTATCAGTTAGAAGAATTACAAATTCAAAAGAAAAGCAATCCAATGGGAACCGGTTTGACTAGAAACCGAATCTTCACTTAAATTGCGTACCCACAGCAGCAACAACAAATAAAGAACGTAAATAAAAATTAAATTTATTTGGCAGTGAGCAAAGGCAGCAAAAAAATAAATAAATAAAATTTCTTAATGGTCTCCCCCAGAAAGCCCCCCTCTTTCCACCAAAAAAAACCATTTTATCTTTTGTTCGTCTAAAATTGGCACACGATCAATCATTATGTCTCTTCTAACACAAAGTTACCTAGCCAAAAAGTGGGCTATTATGTACTCTGTGGTACCCTATAATAATGTAAATTAACGATTGCATTATGTTAATATGTGTACGGTATAAATAATGTCCTAAGAAATCTTCAAACACAACTCCCACTAATGGACAAAGCTTAAGCTTTCGAAAAACATATTTTGGCACAAGTCAACCTGTTTGCAGATCTAAGAGGAAATTGGAAAGGTAGAGGGGAATCGATTTTTGACCATCTTGTACCTGTAATTAAGTAACTTAATTAATTTCACGCAAGCTCAGCTCATTTTTAACAAAGCAAACAAAAAAGTGACTTGGCGTTGTGCAAAATTTTCGTATTAAATCGTTTGAATAAATTTTGCATAATTTTCGGTTTGTATACAACTTAAAGAATTTGATGGATATTATTTCGCTTATCTCGTGATAGGGTATAATTTGATTAATTTTCAGCGATGAGTTTGGAATTTTCGGCGGGTTAGTTCATTTCGTTTTGCATTGATGTATAAGGCAAGAGCATTTAATCGGAAAGCGATTTCCAAAAACATTTTTATCTTGCATCAGATCATTATTTAAGTATTGCGAAAAAGGTAATCATACGATGGTGTTTCTTAAGTTAAAAATATGTTTTAAAATATGTAAATAATAATATAACTTTGGGAATCTTCTTCAAATCTAGAGATATATTAACCCTTTCGTGTTTGAACAGCTGCTTGCTCAGATTTTCCTTTTAGTCATTGAAAGCAAATGGAAATTATAAGAATTATAATTATTGAATGTGACTAATGAGTAAATATTGATTTAGAATTCCACCCAAGGCGGATACAAAGCCTGAGTATGTAAAATAGATAAACAAACAAGCGAAGGACCATATATGTGAAAGATCCACAGCAGGATCGAAAAAAAGGATGTCCTACGATGGATGTTCTTAAGTCTTAGGGTGGTTGTGTACCTCTTAGCCATCCATTTGCATAGAAAAATGACCCAGTTTCTTACGGCTGCTGAAGATTTAGAGCAGCTAGGACTTCAGGGTCCTGCGCATTACCAAAAATTGAAGAAAAAAATCAAATTTAAATAATTTACCTATTTTTCTATTTGAAAGAACATCGTTTTTTTTCGTTTCAAACTCATTTTTTTGCGGAGGATTAATGAAAAATGATGTTTGACCCTGTCCTGCGAGACACTCACCCTTCTCCTTGATCACGTATGCAAATGCGATGCGTTGTCCTGGGACAGGATCACAGGATTCAACCCTTTTGGCGTCCGATCCGCGAACGTGTTGTGCATAAATTAGGGAATCCTTTTTGTCCTTTTGTCCTAAGGGCACCCTTGGTGGTTGGGCAAGGAAACGCTTCCGCATGGAAATGAGGCAAAAAAATCCGGATTTTTTTTTCAACTCCTCCTTGTCTCCTTGGTCGTCTGCGTCTTTGTGCGAGACCTTTATCCTTGATCGTCACCCTGAGCCCCTGAGTGTCTTGAGCCTTGTGGGTAGAGTCTGGCAAGGAGAACAAAAAAATCGTGAGAAAATTTCCAGCGCCAAATATTTAAATTAGGTAACCAAATGCCGCCCGTTGCATACTTTTTTGGGTGATTTTTTTATTTTGCATAACGACGGGAAGAATGAAAAAAAATCATCAGGATGCATGCTCATCCTAGCAGCCCTTATTGTCGGGCCCATCAGTTTTTTAACCCATTTTTTGTCCCCGATTCCCTAATTTTTTATGCTTGACTACCGAAAAAAGTCGTTTATAATTGGACAGAGCTCAGCTTTTTTGCCGCGTTTTTTTCCGTTTCCTTTTTTGAATATTGAAATCCTGTGTGGCAAGTTTTTTTCTTCGTTTCTGGGAAAAGGATCGTGAACCAAAGTCTTGTTACTGTAATTTTTTATCCTTTTTTTTGGTTACTTTTTTTAAAAAGTTTTTTTTCTGTCTCTTTGATAAAAAAAAGCGGTGCGAAAATGTTAATTAAATTTTTGTTATTGCGCCATTTCAGGGCCAAATCCTGTTTTCAATTTCAATTCTTTCAATTACGCAGTTAATTTTCATTTTTTGTCTTTTGAATAAAACTTTTTATAGAGTTTTAACACGTGTTGGTTGTCAAGGATTTGAATTGTAAATTGTAAACTGATTGGAGAATGCAAAAAAATCTGGGGTTTTGGTTGAGTAATTGTAAACATTGTTAAGTGTTTGATAAGCCTTTGTAAAAAAATTATGTCCTGGGAGTAATAACAATACTTTTTGATTGAATTATGCAAAAAAACAAGGTCTTGGGGAAAATTTTTAAGTGGTTTTAGGAATTTTACCAATGGCTTAAAAAATGTTTCAATAAAAATCTTAGTTTGGTTAGACCAGATTTTTAAAGATTTTATACATAATAATTGATAACCATGTTTCTTTAACCATCATTCTAGTCATTTTATCTTATTTTGATTAAGAGTATCAAGTGATAAGGGAAAACATATTGCCTTTATTCAGGATCCGTGAAAAAGTAAACCTTCATCCAACATCTGTTAGTCTGAAAAAGGAAAGTAACTCACAGTTAACAAAGAGTTTTGGAACTAGTCTGTTACTTTGAAAAATTCAACAGAAATATGCCTCAAAAATAATATTATTCTATGTTATAAATACTTAATTTAGCAAACAAACCTATTCATTAAGCACTTTATCGTTGAAATCTTCATATACCTAATCAAAAAATCCGCAAACGAAACGTTTAATTAAAATGCCAGAAACCTCTCTTTTAGCAATATGCCAATATTCGCTTAAGTATCAATTACATAACAATCAAAATGATAAAGGCAAATCAATTCAAACACGAACAGAGAAACCTCAACAATAGAGTAGAGTGTGCCCTCCACTTCCACTGTGCGAATAATAATATCAAGCCCAGTGAAAGGGTGCAAATATGGATATAAGAGTGAATAGCTAACGAAAATCGCATCAAATTTCACAATATCGCACCTTATTAGAATCGAACAACAATAACGCTGAACACAAAAGCGAATTTTTGGCAAGGAGCTGATGGAAAAATAAAGGCCAAAATGCAAATGCCACAGGAACAAGAAGTTATGGGAAAAACATACACACCTTCTCCTTCGATCTCAACGAGCCCCGGGCTAATCGATGGAGTGTATCCGCATATTGTATGCATTGTCTAATAATTTCGTAAATAGTTTATCCAAAAAGAAGAATTGCTGAATGCCGTACCGACTAAATGCCATCCACGAATGGGTTATGGGTTAGAGAAAGGATCCCTTTTGCTAGTCCTTTCTTATGCTAAGAAGAGGACCTTCTCGTGGGGTGAAAGGTTCTACTTTTTTTCTTCTTTCAAAGATCCGGATGTTTTGTGTGCAACCCCTGATGATCGGATCCTATCTATCTGCCCCTGCCTGCCTTTCTGTGTGTGTGTGTTTTGATTTCGGGTCTGGAGTTTAGAAACCATAAATCTATTGATGCCTTTTGATGACGCCTTTCTGCAGTTTCGAAATGATCTCTTGGCATTGAAAACGGATAGACAATATTCAAATGCAACTCGTTTGCATAATGCCCTTTCCAAAAATTGATAAATAGATTGAGCTGCACTGAGAGAAATTAAATTAGGGTAGTTTTAGTACCAAACAAGTCTAATGAAAATTATTAATCCACAATCTTTGGAATATTGGATAGATATTTGAAGGAAGATGACAGAAAAATTAAAAAGATAAAATATAATATCAAATTTATGAAAATAATCTCTTAATTATCTTTTAAGTTCATGTTAAAACTCAAAAAATTTAAAGTATGAAATATTTAATAAAGGATTTTAAGCCAAACTATCCTGCAAGATTGAAGGAAACTCTTCTTTAAGCATTTCAATCAATTTAGAAAAAATACTGTGGAAGCCTAAAATATGTGTGAAAAACTTCAACTTGAAATGCAAATCAAAAAGATAAATAAGTACCCCTGATTCTCTCAAGTTATTCACGTTTTTTTAGTGACCTCGCTGAGAAACTTCCATCCAGCTCAGACAGATGCCACTCTCAAGGAAGAATCCCTGATAGCCTCAAGCACTGCATTCTAATTATCATATCGATCAAGCTGCAAGTAAAAGTGACAGTCCCAGGACCAAGGACCCTGTCAGGACAGTGAAGATTCTCGGCCACATTTTTTTCTCATAGTTAGCATAACAAAGCCTGATGAGACGCACAACGGACGGAATCGTGATGATTTCAGCACCCAGAGACAAGACAGGCCAAAAAAGGGAAAAAGAAGGCGCAGAGGAGCCACCCCGAAGATCGGGTAGCGGGACAATAACCACCAAACAATCCCATGATCATTAGTGCATCTATAATAATGCGTATTGATATGCTAATCGGGAATATAGAAGAAACTTCAATGCCTGGAATGGTTCTATGATCGATGATGATCGCTGATGGCTGGCAGAAATCAAATCATTTATCAATTAAATTATTGGCAAACATTGGGCTGTAGAGCCCTCGAGAAGAACGGTTCTTCGATGTGCGAAAAAAATCTACCCCTTCCTGCCTCATTTCTGCATTGTGACCTTTGTTTTGCATTTTGCAAAACTGCCAAATGATCGATTATCGATCTAAGATCCTTTTGTCCTTGGTCTTTGTTCTCTGCGGTGTGTTTGCCAATTCTACTTTGATGATTTGTTGGTTTATTGTCAGCGATCCTTGTTCCTTGCTCAAGGGTGTCCTTGTTTTTATGCCTTATTCGCCAAAGGATCGTGCCGAATATTCGCACAAACCTTGAGCCAAAGACACCGATTCTTTGTTGACAAAAAGACAATTGCTCGAAATCCTTTTAGGGAGAGGCTATATCTCTATCAACTCCATTGTTGTTCCCCTAAATCTTTGTGGGTGTCTACTCAACAATCCTACAACAATCCCCTTTTGTCTGGCCAACTTTTATGAGCTATTTAGTTGATTTTATTTCGTTTTTATTTGCGGCATGAAAAGATCATAAAAAGCATTTTACTTTTTTGTGTATTTAACACAATTTGCTGCTATTTATAATTCCATTCAAACCCAGGGCAAATCAAAGACGGAGGCGAATAAAAAAAATACATAAATAAATAAAGAGAGAAAATATAATAATGAAAAAAGCACCTGTTAACAACTTAAACTGGTTTTGTGTGTGGGATTTTAAAATTTATTGTTTTATTAATTAGCTATGAAATTCGGTTTTTTGCTTTATACACTTCAGCGATATTCACGGACTGAATGAAACTTAAAATTTCCTTTGTCTGCTATAAAACAATATTATCTTACTAATCCGTCAACGGTCTTTAGATCTCTATAAGTTCATCACCTTTCCATCTTTAAGATATTCAAGTTTCTTGAAGTTTTGCTCTGTTCATTTCGTAAGTACTTTGCCGATTTGAAGTTGCAAATCGTGACAGCTGAAGAAGACTCAATTTTTAAACTAGTTTTATATATAGGGAATATGATTTTCTTATATGAAAATAAATGCTAAAAGAGCTCCATACGAATCTAGACAAAAATGAATCATTCTCATTTCATTAATCTCCGCTTCGATCAGCCGAAAATTTCAAGACTCAATCAGTCATCAATCACTATTCGCCAACCATTTCGAATTGAGGTAACTTTTCTAGCGAGGGTTGACCCCCTGAACTACGCCACTGTCTTAAGCCAAACGGCAGCTGTGAGTTAGAGAAATTTAAAGACAAACTTCGATACGATCGTAGCCCTCTACTACTCAGATTATACAGGGTGAACATAAATCTCTTATGTCGCCTCGGGCACAAAGGAGTTCATCTTAAGGTTTGCTAAGCGGATTAGGTTGCATTTTATTTTTCTGGATCGTTGCATATATTCGATCCGCTTTGATTCGCTAATCAAAATGTAAATCTTGTGGATGATTTATAGAAACACCAAATAAAATTACTTTATAAATAATTTTAAACTTTATTGGTTGAATTTTACATTTTCAAGTTGATTCCTCTTTCAGCTTGCCTAACAAGTAGAAAATATCCTTACTCTACTAGTTAGTTGATAAATTAGAAAGTATCTAGTATCTATATCTAGATATATACGTTGAAATGTACAGCACAATTTTACATACATCTATGTACACTATTCTATATATTTTTTTAGGTATACCACCGTACTTTGTACGGCTCCTAGCTGATATCAAAAACAGTGAGCCATTCAAAATCGACTCTTTCAAATAGTTCAGTGTTTTATATTTATATTGCTTATAGGTATTTAAAAGAGAGGCATAAATATCGTATAGAAAATCCTGAGTTGACCTAGATAATGTATTCTTCAAATTTCAGTTTGAAAGGGCGTCGGAACTTAAGTATTGTAATGGGTTTCCTTGATTATTTAGGCATTGATGGAGTTGATTTTGGCGGAATCGTATACAACTTCTAGCTTATTTTGATGTATTTTTATGTTTTTGGAAGGATGGTCAAGGATAACCACTTACAATCCCAGTTCCTACGACACTGCCAACTTGCGCCTAACTAAGCGTAACTTATTTTACGGTGTTTAAATTGTTAAGGTTTCAAAGGATCAGCATTTTTTATCCTTTGAATCCTTACCAATTTCAACGGGGACCTTAAGCTAATGTCATCGTTGCTGCCTCTTTTGGCCACGACCTGGCCTGTACTATTGGGCCTTCTCCTTGGCGGCATTAACAGCACTCAGGCCCAGGGTAAGGTGATCGCCAGCGATTAGGCCCGCCGCTCCTGGCTGGTGGGCATAGTTCCGGATCTGGTGCAGCGAAATCAGCTGCGTGGGGAAGGCAGCCGCCGCAGCTGCAGCATTCTGCTGATAAAGATAGGCAGCAGTGGCCGCTGGAGGGGGTCCGCGATGCTGTTGAAGATGTGGCGGCGGTGGTGGAGCCACTGCCGCTGCCAAAGGAGTAAAGGCCGACGATCCGGGTCCAGGCGAGGGCTGATGCTGTGCCTGTTGTTGCTGCTGCGACTGTTGCTGTTGCTGCTGCTGGAGGTGATGTTGTGGTGTGGACTGGCGCAGGACAAGATCCTCGCCTGTGGCCTCTTCATGAGGACTGTGCGAATGACCCGGCGTGTCCGCCAATCTCTGATGATGTTGCTGCAGTAGCTCCTGTTGCTGCTGCTGGTGTTGCAGAGATGCAAAGTTGCCATATGGCTGACCTCCGGCCTGTGGCAACTGCTGTTGAATGGCCTCCGCCAGCGTAGCTGCCGCACTATCCGCCCCCATCTTAGCCCAGTAGGCGGCATTTACATCGTTCATAGCCTGGCGCTGCAGATTCAAACCTATTCCACTCGCCGGCACATGTTGCTGATGTGCAGCTACCTGGGCCGTGTGTCGATTCTGCTGCTTCTCTGCCTTCTCCGCGTGCTTTTGCAGATGCTTCTGGAGGTAGGTCTCCTGCGTATACGACTTGCCACACAAACTGCAGATGTGCGTCTTCAGGTGCTTGGAGTCCTTGTGCTTGGGAATGTGCTCCAATAGGGTCATCTCATCGCCAAAACACTTGTAGCAGGAGTTGCACTTAAAGGGCTTATCGGTCTGATGGCAACGAGAGTGGGACTGCAGATTCGACAGCTGCGAGAAGGCCTTCGGGCAACCGGCGTGCCGGCATTTGTACGGTTTGTCACCCGTGTGCGTCCGGATGTGCTGCTGCAGATGCGACAACTGCGTGAACTTACGCTGGCAAATTTCACAGCGGTACGGCTTGATCCCAAGATGAATTCGCGTATGCTGCGACAGGTACGAGGAGTTCGCAAAGGACTTGCTGCACGAACCACATTTATAGGGCTTGGCCTGGTCACCATCGCCCCGTCGGCTCTCTTCCTCCGGCGAGGATCCGTTGCTGCCACTCCCACTGGCACTGCTCATCTGCTGACGCGGCGGCGATCGACTTGGGTCATACTGGAAAGATATGGTAATGGGTTTTGATTATTTTGGTATTAGATTAGCAGCTTTTTATACTTTAATCTAATGTGGTTTTAAATATTACAAATAACTATTAAAAATAATTATGACTAATCAAACTGTACGGCATAAAGATTAAATTGTATTTTAGTTTTAAAACATTTTCGAGACATATTCAAATTTGCTTAAAAAATAGGAATTTTATGTACTTTTGTTTATCATTAGTTTTCGTTTTTAAGTACGTTGAACTTTTTGAAAAGTCGAACATTTGTTTTATAAATTGTTTTATGTTTGTTTTTAAAAGATTTAGTCTTATAAAAAGCTAATTTTTTTATATTACATTCCAATTAACATTATCAGAATATAATTATGAGGCGTAAAAGATCTCGACACTCACCTTCTGCTCCTGCTGCTCGTGAGGAGTGGGCGGCGAGTTGGGCGCACTGTAGCTGACCTTCAGCTGAGCTGGATGCTGCTGCTGCTGTGGATGATGTAAATGCTGCTGCTGTTGTTGAGGATCGGGATGTGCCTGTTGCTGCTGCTGCTCCATGACCATTTGCTGTTGATGCTGCACCAGACCGTTCTTCAACGAGTAGTCCAGTCGCTCAGCGACATTTTGCCTAAATTCGTTGATATTGAAGGGCTTATAGTCGTGGACCAATTGGGCAGTGGTCAAGTGACCCAGAGAGCGCAGCTGGTCGATGGAGCGGTGTAGGTAATCGCCACTGGGGACGCCGTTCGGCGCCGTCGGCAGTTCGGCCATAAGCGGCGTCTGATGGCCGCCAAGGGTCAGCGGGCGGTAGGCGATAGTGCGAGCGTCCAGTTTGGGGGCGTGGCCAGCAGCGGACTGAGCCTACCGGTGGTGTTATGAAACGTGGAATGAAGAAACTGCTGTCTTCGTCGTCAAGAAGTCGACACTCCACTGGCGGCGGGCTTACACAACTCGGCGCGTTTTTGTGCTGAAAGTACAGAAATATTGTAATTCTTGAATCCAACAAAATTGTGCCCAGTCGGCATAAGTGCTTAAACTACTTTTTGATTCCAACCACCTTGCCTTTCGGCACCCCGCGTTTTTGGGTACATTAATTTCTGCACATTAACATAAATGTGCATGAATTAATTAATTGTTTGTGAATTAAACGTGCTGCGCTCGTGGAACAAAAGCTAAGAAGTCAGTTGAAGACGAGATACCAACCGAATGCAATTGCAACCCAGTAAAAAAGTTGCCAATGGGGCGCAAAAAGCGAAAAGAAATTAATAACAATGCCGGGCAAAAAAGAGTTAGTCAACGGAAAAAATCACAAGATAAACAAAAAAGGCGCTTGCGGCCAGAAATTATTGTTGGTGACAACAAGATGGAAGTCGAAATGGAATCGCTTTTTGGCCTGAAGAACCAAAATCGCGGTTATTCTGTGGGCAGGTGATGGGCTAGCAAAAAAAAAAAACAAAAGAAAAAAATAATAATAATAAAAAACGTCAGGGGCGCCAACGGAACGTGTCAACAACCTCGACAAATGAATGCAACTACATCTTCTTCACGTTTCTGGGCGTTGCAACGAGGTTTTTAATGGACCAATGATGTTCTGGGGAAGTAATCATAAACTAAGTGATAAAATGATTGGTAGAAAATATAAAAAGTAACAACACATCAACTTTTTGCAAAGTAAAAGTATAATTGAAAATAACGATTTAGTAGCTGAACTTCAATTTGAAGCAAAATCCGCTTTTAATTTTTAAGAAATTTGATTATTCTTTAAAAATTATAAAAAAGAAAATATCTGAATTTCAAATGATTGAAAGGGAATTCTTGGAAATTCAAACATAGCAACTGAAATTAAAAACAAAATGTTAAAAAAATAGATTGGAGTTTATGAAATTCAGCTTATCCTATTTAAAACCAGAACCCTTTGAAATACTCAAAGAATTCGATAAGATTCTTTAAAAAATTTACCAACCTATCTGCGTTTTTGTAAACAGTGACTGGTACAGAATTGAGGGTTTTTTAATTGTTTAAAGTTTTTTTTTAATTTAATCCATTTAAAAAGTTTTTTTGACGTTGAATCAACAGTAAGAGTAAGCCGCAAAATATTTAAGATAATTAAAAATGTTTATTATTAGAAATGAATAAGCTGTTTAACTGTTATAAAAGATAAATTGTAGTGTCAAAATGTAATAATTAAAAACTGCTCCAAATAAATTCGTAAATACTTTTTTTAACTTGAACTTCGTCATTGCAATATGAGGATCTACAACCGCATAAGCTCTAGTTAAATAGATTTGGTTATAATCCTGTGACTTATTCACTGTGAATTTATTTATTAAGCAAATGAACAAACAAGAGCCTAAATCACCAACAAAAGAAATATATAATAATATATAGTATGTTTTGAAATGTGTGTGTTTTATCATTAAACTAAAATTTTAGAAGACCGTAATATTTTTGTATGTCATATTTAATATGTCTAGATATTATTCATGAATTTATTATATTATAATATAAGTATCACTAGTTACTATAATTTGTTAGAAAACCCATATGAGTAGTAATTACAGTAATAAAATCAGGTAAAAACGTAAAGCCATTGATAATAAAACCCATTATATTAGTGCAGGAAATAAAAGTGAAATTATGGACTTCTGTAATAATGAAAGTTTTGCGCGCGAATTTGATTACGACCTTTTAGTCGGGTGGGTGTTGACGTCAGAGGTAAATTCAATTTTTTGGTTTTTGTATTTTTTTCGTTTTTTTTCTGCCTGGTCAAAATAACCGGTTTTGTAGTTGTTGTTTTTGTTAATGCTGACGTTGGACAATTGAACAGCATGGCAGCAGGAATCCCATGAAGAGGGGTTAAGGAGGAGCATAAGGGGAGGTTAATGTAATGCAAAAAAGGACGCGACACTCGCTTGTTGCGCACATTTACAGCGAGACAGGGCGACAAACAAACAATTGTTTGCCGCACAAACAATTGCCATAAAAAATACATAAGCGAAAGTGGTGACCGCAAAGAAGAAGAAAACAGAAGCCGAAATCGTAATCGTGTAACTACAGATCTGGAAAAAAAAACACGGAAAATCGACCACTCAACCTGATAAATGCAAATGGGGAAAATAAATGAACGCAAGCGGGCAGGCCCCAAAAATCCAACAAAAAAAAAAAAAAAACCCCCAAAAAAGAGAAGCCGAAAAAGCGTATAAATAAAATGGTATACACAAAAAACCTACACTACACACACAAAAAACGAATCAACGAAAATTAATTGAGCGCAAGCAGCTGAAAAACAAAAGAGAGCAGAAGAGCGAGCAAGAGAGCAACATAAACAAACGGACGACAGCAACAAGAAAAACAACAGCAGCGCAATAACCGCAATTCGGACCGCACTCTCTCCCCCATTTGGCCTCTCTCTTTTTAGTTGGGGGCGACATGTGTGCGAAAAAAGAAGCGAATATCTGATGAATACAAAAAAAGTGGAAGATAAAAAAGACACAGCGACACATAAACGTAAAAAACACACACAAAAAAAACCCGCCACCGAATGAATGGGAACATTAAAAGTCAAACAAGCGACAAAACGGATGGTCAAGTAATAGAGCACGTTTGCAAAAATGATTTTCAAATTATTCCGGCTTAATTATTTGTTGACAGTCGCTTTTGGCTTACAATTACAATTCGGTTTTAACATTACTTCTGCAGAAAGAGAAGACACGGAAATAGGCCTAAATATTTGACCAACTCAACAGTGGAGCAAACACAATTCATTTTTACATTAACATTATTTATTTAAAAAAAAATTATTTATTTTATAAGAACCCAGCAAATTTTTTCGAAATGATATGTATACTTTTACTCTTTAGACTTGAATCTTCAATAAAATTTAATTTTGTCAAAGAAGGAACTTTTTACTTAAATCAATCTTTACTTTTCGGTATTATATGAAGTTTCCTAATTTTGGTAGGGTCATATGTAATTATGGTATCTTTAGTATAAATTAAAATCAACTAGATTTTAGTTTACATATAGAGAAATGCTTCAAGTCAAGACCAATGTTAATCATCATTTTGACAATTAAATTAGATATGTCGATAACTTTTTTTTTTGTCAAGAAGAGCCAAAATAGTCTTGGTGACAAATATGACATTTTCAAGGAGCAGAATTATTCAATGTGATAGGTTTTTCTGGGTTTCGGAATTATAAAGATACTTCCCACTGTGCGCTGAGCGCGGGAAAGAGAAACAAACACACTCGGGTCGGAATCGCCAAGTGTGTGTTTGTCCAATAAGGCAAATAAATAAAACATGCTCGTACATCGTAAAGTACTAACCAATTTGAAACTGCCTTTACGTTCCGGCGTTTTTTCGTTTCCAATGAAGTTACTTTTTGCCGCTTTTTTAAATTTTTTTTTTTAGTTTCTTTGTGGGCCAACTTTTGTTGATATTTTTGGAGCACGTGCTCGCGGGCTGATTGTGGGTAGGATGGGCGGCAGTTTCACTTCTTTCGTTTTGCTCGCAGAAACATACACTTAAATAGGTAAATTGTTTGTGGTTTGCGGCACTTTATTTTCGTGCGCGTTTTGTTTGTTTCTTTTTTTGGCGCCTACCATGCGATTGATTTATTTTGCGCAAATTAGCGAATTTAGTGGGGATTTGCGTAGTTTGCTACGTTCTTCTTTGCGGTCGGTCGGGTCGGGCCTCTCTTTCGCACACAGAAGAGACTCTTGAGTGGCAACAAGAAAAAATGGCCGCGCACGCCAAAAATATACACACAAACACCAACGAACACCACAGAGCACACACATACACACGCGGTCGCAAGTTTCTTTTTTTTATTCTGCACTTGTGCTTTTTTTTGGTTGACAACCTTTTTAGACTCCCGAATTTTTATGTTTTTTCTTCTGCTAGCAACAACGTTTAATTGTAATTACAACAAGCACGTTGCGAAAAGGGGCGTGTAATGGGAGGGGGCGTAAGCTCCGCTCTTCGGTTGTTTACGTCGTCGCGGCAAACACAAAAAACACAAACAGAAGCAGCAGAACAAGAGGAGAATAAAATAACTGTTCGTTTTAACGTTCGGCGAAGAACTGAAAAAAAATCACAGCGAAGAGTATGTTTTTTCGACAATTCGTTTTGGGAGAGCGAACATCGCTCTTGCTCGCTCTTTTTTTCTCTCTCTCGCACATACATAGTGAAAAAAGGCTTGTTTATGTTTTTTATGTGTGTAGCTTGCTCTCTCGCGCTCTCATACGCTCTCCTTGTATTCCGGTTTTTTGTTCTGGCGCCTCTTTTTTGTCGTATTTTTTGTTGTGTTTTCGGGGAAGGAGGCGTGCTCTTTTTTTTCGGATTCCGAGTTTAATTGGGCCAAATTCTGGCGAGAGGGAACTAAAAAAAATATCAAACCATCCACATCCATCGCCCTGCATCCTTCCGGGTGCCTTTGACCCTTTCGATTTCACCTCATCGTAGGGATTGTATTCCTATGAAGGTTTAATGACCAGCTTTATATTAACTTTAAATTTAAAATGCATCTAAGATGTGAAACAGTAGTTTTAATGAAACATCAAGATTTTTTTTCTCCTCGTAATTGTAATATATGTACATAGAGATACGTTATTAATTTAAACACATAATAGTTTTATAAAATAACTAATTTTTATCTATAATGAATATTTTTTTAAAATGAACAACAAAACTTGTACTTAGTTGCCTTGAAAACATTTTAAGTCACATTTCGTTTCTAATTAACTAAGTATTATGTCAAACCTATCTAATTTTCAACTTATTTTCTGTTATCTTATATCTAATTGCCTTTGTTGTCCGCCAATGAATGATTCAGTTAAAGTCAACTCATTAAAAATAACTAAACATAAATACATACATATGTACATATGTACATACTAGCAATAAATCTATCAAGGCTATTGAATATCATATGGTATAAAAATCCGTTATTATTGCTTAAAATTTGATTTCATTTGACAAAAGGGATTAAATCTTAATTCATTTTACGAAAATTTTAATTATTTTATATCTTTAATTAAAATTTTTATACTTACGTTGAAAAAAACGAAGCATTGGATAATCCAACATAAATATATCCCGTTTAAAGGTTATTTATTTATTTTTTAAAGCCCTAACTCAACATATTTTTTATCTTATTGGCAAACGCTTATATATTTTGAACTAATAGGCTAAACTCAATGTTTTCCATTTTTAAATCATAAAATTTGTGGCGCCACAATTTTCTTTGAGGTCCAATTTTTTGTGCTGGCAATGCTGAATTGGAAAATTGGATGATTTTTACGTCAGCCTGATAGGACCACACTAAAATGTTTTTTTTTAATCATAGTCGATAGTAAGTTATTCGTAATTATATTACCTTCTATTATATAAATATAACTTAAGAAATCCTGTTGAACTTTAATTTTCTTTTTCAAGTATTCATAAAATATTCTTGTGATATATCAGCTCTTAGACCTAACTTATCGATAATAGTTGCCATCACGAGATCATCAAGATCAATGAACTTGTTGCACTGATGAACGCGACCAGCTTATCGCCAACTTAAGTATTCGATATATCAATAATATCGTAAGTGTTTTTCGTCCATCACTAGCGCAAACAACTCACACACGTGCACGTGACGACAATGAGTAAAAAACCGCATTCCGTTAAAGTTCCAACCCAATATCGGGCGACCGCCAAGATCCTGAAGACGGCACTGCAACAGGGTAAACCGATTAGGGCTCTGATAGCTCAGGAGAGGCACGCAGTGAGTGGTCATGAAATCCGAGCTAAGAATCAAACAAATATATCAATATTCCTCTGTAACACTTAAGCGCATTGGCAGCTTGCAGGCAGTGCTGAAAATTTATAGCGATAATCGTGGTGCCGTGGATGACGCCATTGAACAATCGGGACTGCTTACGGATAACCCGAATCTCGACGCCTGTTTAGCCAAGGTTTTAGTCACCGAGCTAATTTTCGGTAGGAAACTACTAAACGGCAATAGCAGACCCGTGGAAACTGTCCGAAACTACCAGGGAAAACTACTGGAAGCAGTCAGTGGATCCGGATACAAGAAAAAAGGCAGGTTCATCTATTAAGAGTATTTGCCCGATACGATGGGCAAGAAGAATAAGAAACAGTCTGCGGAATTCGTGGCACCTGCTATCGATGATTCTTCAGAAGTAATTGATCCTCCCGTGGAGCATTATCCCCAGGAGGAGGACACCAGTGCCGAAGTGTTTCTCTGGCTGCTAGCTTACAGTGTTCTCATGTTCACGCTGCCTTTCTTGGGCTTCTACGGCGTGCGCAGCTGGCTGCAAGAGTCATTTCCTCAACTGGATCTCTTCACGGTCAACTGTTGGTCTGTTCTTACGGCAGTGGTAGTCGTAAACCTAGTGGTAGCTATGTATGTGCTGAAGGCTTTCCGCGAGAAGCCGCCACCACCGTTGGAGTCGGTACTTCAGGATGAGAAAGATGAGCCTGAAGCTGTAGAGCCCAAGAAGGATCAATAATTTGAGTAGGCTACATCTGACAACAGAGTATTTACGAAACGTCGGACTTAATACCATCTTTGGAACCCGATTTCCAAGACATTAAAATCCTTTTAAGGATTAGTAACATTTCATTACCCTTAATAAATCTTTATCTTGACACAATTTTAAAAGTTTCTTTTATTTGTCTTTTTATTCGTCCCAACAGAACATAATCCTCGCTATGTCCGCATCAACACTAATCTGTACAGCTTGGGGAGGCCTTGGAGTACCTGGCTCAAAATGATTTTCAGCGTAAGGAGTTGCCTTCGGATGTCAGCTATTCAGATTTCCTCGCTGCCGTGAAATCTATAAACGAGAATGAGTTTATGACAGATCTACATATAGAGGGCTTGCTCATTTTCCATGCCAAGTATGGAAGTTATTGGGCGACCCATGATTTGGTTCACAGCAAAAAGTTGATTCTTCAGAACAAGGCCACTTGTTTGGCTGCGGAATTACTTGCTCCGCCACCAGGATCCACTGTGCTGGATATGTGCGCCGCTCCAGGGATGAAAACGATGCACATGTGTAACGTAATGCATAACAAAGGGCGAATTTACGCCGTGGAGCAGTCCGCCGATCGCTACAGCAGCATGTGTAATATAACGGAGCAGGCAGGTTGCGAGATAGTGACTCCTGTGATGGGCGACGTATTGAAAATATGTGCGTTTTTTGTAATATTCATTCCAATAGTTATTATCCAATAATAAACATAAACTCTTGCAGTACCTGAGCGCTTTCCGGACGTGGAATATATCCTGGTGGACCCCAGTTGCTCGGGAAGCGGAATGCAGAACCGCATGACCATGTGCGACGAGCCAAAGGACGACAGAAGACTATTCAGGCTGGCAGGTTTGCAGATCAAGATCCTATCGCATGCGATGAGCGCCTTTCCAAACGTTAAGCGTATCGCCTACTGCACCTGTTCGCTGTACAAGGAGGAAAACGAACAGGTGGTACAGCGCTGTCTGCAGTTTAACCCACGTTTTAAGCTCCTTAGCTGCAAGAAGGCGCTGCGCAATAAGTGGAATAATGTCGGCGACAAGGAGTACGAAAAAATAGGAAAGAACTGCCTTTATAGTTTACCGGACAGCGATCATACTGATGGAATTTTCCTTGCGCTTTTTGAAAGACGCCCCGAAGGAGAAACAGATTAAATTTTTAAGCGAGAAAATGAAGCCTCCAACTTAGAATGTAAACTTAATGTTTATTAGGCATTTAGCCATTGCATTTTTCAACTTCAGTTGTGTACATCTTTATAAAAAATAAAAAAAATTACTATTATCTTATGGTTTATAGATCGATCAATAACACGGTTAAATAAATATATAACATATATATATGTTTGTGTGTTGAGATGAATGTTAGCGATACATGTATTAAAAAAATTATTCGATTATCTATCAAAAAACTGCGGAATGTCAAAATTTAAAAACTTTTACAATGAAAAGGTGTGTTAGCCGATTTTAACGAAACCGTTCCTTGCTCTTTCCTTTAGCAAGCTTCAAATTAAATTCTAATTTGTATTACGATTGACAGATCGAAATTCAAAGTGTTATTTTTCAAAATTTAGTACAGATTATATATCAATAGCAGATATATTGAAATTTACTCAGTGGCAAACAAACATTTTACAAAATGAGGGCGGCTACCAATTGCAGACCAATTCTTAACTTTCAGATTGTGAGATGTTTCTATCGGCCACGACGATTGAACAAGTATTACGATATTGTGAGTATTCTTTCATTACAAAATTGGTTTCCTTTTCACAGAAACATACATAAATTTTTGAATAATTGACTTTGATTTGATTGATCGGTCGTTGACTATACTATAAGAAATATAGAAACGAGATAAGTTTATAAAAACTCTATAAAATCGAACGCGCCAGGCGCTATTTATATGTCTCATATTAATATCTGGTTCATCCAGCATCGATCGGAACGCGTATATATATTTCTCGCTATATAAACGCTGCAAAAGCTGCCAGAGCCTCTGCCCCTGCTGAATGTGTTCTCTAGACCTTCATCTGTTGCTTGTAGTAACTGCTTTTGGCCAGGCGGAATGATTCCGCCTTAATAGCATCCTCCATTGTAATTATCGGCTTCTTGGGGCAGTACTTAATGGTGTGTGCCGAGTCCCCAGATGCCCCACAAATGGGGCAAACGTAGGTGCGAAGCTTGGGGCACAGCACTCGGTTAAATTTGTCGCGGACCGTGTGGCTATTGACCACCGCCTCCGGTTCGTTGTTATTCTCACAGAAGACGCAGTGGCGACTGACTTCCTGAAGTTCAAAAAATGATAATTTAAAATTTGTATCACCTACATTTTTATTTGTTAAGCACTAAGCATTTTTAAGGCTAGGAACGCAATATAATTTAAAAAAGATACACTTACCTCTTTACCCTTGCTGTTGTTGTATCGCTTGTGCACCTTATTAATATTGTTAGAGGGATTGGAAGCCACGCGCAGCTGGTCAGCCTGCACGGGTAATCCCAGATTCATTCCCACGGCGAGATTGGGGGACATGGTGACCGCTGCCTGGGCCTGCAATCCTACTGCACTGGTGGCTGCCGGCATGTAGGACATGTTACGCCATACGTTGTTCAGCTGCTCGCGGTAGTTTTGCAGCCAGTGCGTGGGAAGTGGAGTGGCCATGGACATTAAGTTGGCTCCACTAGTCGACGGCTGGGCAGGATTGCGTCCGAGCGACAGGTGCATACCCTGTTGCTGCTGCTGTTGTGTCGGTGGAGGTGTTTGCGTTTGTGGTGGAGCATTTCCATAGGAAAAGCGACTGAGATCATCGCTTACATAGCCGTTGGTTGCAAACTCCTGCATAGCGTCCTGCATGGATCCAGCCGCATTTTCTGCAATTAGGAAGCTTTTCAATACATCGTCTATATTGATCACATTTCAATATTATTCAGGTTTGCATTTAAAGAGTTATGCAGTCGAAAACACACTGGTTCTAACTGCAAACAGGACAGAACGAGCAATGTAGAGAATCTTGTAAATAGCAGAGAAGAGAAGACGCCAAAATGGCTTTCCGAAGTATTGGGAAAAGGAATAGCGCAAGTATTTTGAAGGTCACTGACCGAAAATTCATGGGCTCGCGAAATTGTTGTTAAAGGGACTAAATAAGAGATGTTAATTTATATAAGCATATATCTCTTTTGGCACACAAATACAATAATAAATAACTAGTGATTAGGATCATCAAACAACTTGGTAATATTAAAAATAATGAAAACTCAAGTTTAGGCAAACAATATGTAATGTTTTGAAGTGCGCTCTTGTAACCCTTTTTTAGACTAAGCCCCTGACTTTGATATAACTGTCCATTTACAGCTAGTAAACTCCCTCTCGCCCGTTGTTTTAGCAATTATACTTTTTAACGACGCCATTTCGATATTCGCTATCTCTTTCCTCACCTGCTGCGCCCGTAGTCAGCTGCGCAAATATTTTCAATGATCGCGCAATCTCGTCCTTTTGGTGGTGATTTGCACTGGCCGCTGCCGCCGATGCAGCCAAAGCCAACTGATGTTGAGCCAGGGCCAATTGTTGTTGCTGCTGCTGAAGCAGCAAATGGTAGTGATACTGCCGTTGGAGCAACAGTGTATTGGCAGCGGCGGCACTGTCCGCCAGCAGGGGAAAATGCGTCGTCTGAGCAGCAGTTGACGGGTCGGGGGTCATCGGTGTAAGGGGTGTGCTGGGCGGACTGAGAGTGGCTGATGAGTTGGCGCCACTAGTGTCCAGGTACATGTCTTGTAAGCCCAACATATTAAGTCCTCCTCTTGCGTGGAAAGCCGCGAAGTTGTCCTGAAAAGGTGCGTATATCCGTTTCGTAACGGGAATTTTATCGAAAGGGGCTTATAAGACTTACTGCTGCTGCGCCACTGCCTTCCAAGTTGCTGCGGAACATGGCGAAATTCTGGTAGAAAGTTACCGTTATCGCGAGCTCTAGCTTCCACAGATCCTCACCAAAAAACCAAGCTGAGTTTATTCAACTGAAGTATTCGCGATACTTCTTTATCTAAAAATAATGTACATGTAACAAAACTCGGTATTCAGTGTTTTAAATCGTGGAGCGGAGTCAAAAAAAAGTCTTATGTCCCGGAGACAACTGGCATCAGCTACAGAAACGAGGCAGAAACTATCTCGGTGAAATTCTTAGAATTCTGTGGTAAAGCTGCGCGCCAACTAACGGTTCTTACGTAAAGATGGCACAATATGCTACATAAATTTATCGATATATATCCTTTATTTATTATTAGTTTAAGTTTTTTAAAAAAGTTATTTAGAAATGAGTCCAATTGAAAAAATGTGCGATGGGCAATAATAAATGCAATTTGGTTTTTTTAGATGTCGTATAACAAAGTTTTGAAATACACCAACGTTTAGCCACTTAAAAGCGCGCATGAAAACTGTTACAAAAACACAGCAACTAAGCCTGACCTATCAATTAAAAATAAGAAATTATACCTCAAAACTAGTCACCAACACGCGCCACACGCCGTCACAAAAATAATCATTGCACACAATTTGAATATCGCGCGCTGTGGCGGCATCTCATGATATCGGCCCGGGACTATCGGACTACCGACGAATCAAACTATCGCTTTAACTATAGCAGGCGATCAAAATACGTTTTGCAACACCGGCTGAACAGCTGACCGCTGATACGTGCGTGGTTCGCGGCAGGAATTACATAAAGTTTAGAGCCTCTGACGCCATAATCCCGAACATTCGGCGCTGTTCGAACTCCCCTGCGAAAGATCACCTAATCCCCACCATGGTAGGTTAACTCAGGTCCTGTGCTTAACTGGCATCTCAAGAAAATCATCGTACATGTGCACATTTCGAGGTTAAAACGGTGGAGCTTTCAATGATATTTTTTTTCTCCTTGCAGTACAGAATAGCTGCCCTTGCGCGGGATCGCGCCTGTCTCTTCACGTGCCAGCAGGCGTCGCAGAATCTGCAGCAGCAGCAGGTTAAGCTAACACTCATAAATCTTCAGGGAGCACCAGGACTAAGTCATGACTTTATTCCGCAGCCGCGCTTTTATAGCGCCCCAGGTCGCAGGGCCGGCTTCTTCTCGCAGTTCTTCGACAACATGAAATCGGAGATGGACAAGAACAAGGAGATCAAGGACAACATCCGCAAGTTCCGGGAGGAGGCTCAAAAGCTGGAGGAGTCGGACGCCCTGAAATCGGCGCGACAAAAGTTCAACATTGTCGAATCGGAAGCGCAGAAATCGTCCAGTAAGCTGAAAGAGCAGCTGGGTGCTATTAAGGAGCGCGTTGGCGATGTTTTGGATGATGCTAGCAAATCAGACCTAGCCAAGAAGGTCACTGAGGAGCTGTCGAAGAAGGCCAAGGGCGTCAGCGACACCATTTCTGACACCAGCGGTAAGCTGGGCCAGTCTAGCGCCTTCCAGGCTATCTCCAGCACGACGACGATTATAAAGAAGGAAATGGACAATGCGAGTATAGACAATCGGGTCTATCGTGCACCTGCCCAACTGCGCAAGCGCGTCCAGCTTGATATGAGCGACAGCGATCGCGTTTTTGAACCCAACACGGAGGCGACTGGTGAGTGTAAATCGGGATCTTTCAATAAGATCAAATTTCAATTATTTCATCCCAATTTTTAGGCATGGAGCTGCATAAGGATTCCAAGTTCTACGAGTCGTGGGAGAACTTTAAGAACAATAATACCTACGTGAACAAGGTACTCGACTGGAAGGTGAAGTACGATGAGTCGGAGAACCCTGTGATCCGTGCATCCCGCCTGTTGACCGATAAAGTATCCGATGTGATGGGCGGCCTTTTCTCGAAGACGGAGTTGTCCGAAACGATGACGGAACTAGTGAAAATCGATCCCAGCTTCGATCAGAAGGATTTCCTGCACGACTGCGAAACGGACATCATTCCAAACATTTTGGAGGCTATAGTCCGAGGAGACTTGGAGATACTGAAGGACTGGTGCTTTGAAAGCACGTTTAACATTATCGCCACGCCTATCAAGGAGGCGAAAAAGGCTGGTCTGTACCTGGACTCAAAGATCCTCGACATTGAAAACATCGAACTTGCCATGGGCAAGGTGATGGAGCAAGGACCTGTGCTGATTATCACGTTCCAGGCGCAGCAGATTATGTGCGTTCGGGACCAGAAGGCGCAGATAGTCGAGGGCGATCCGGAGAAGGTGATGCGGGTGCACTACGTCTGGGTGCTGTGCCGCGACCGCAACGAACTCAACCCCAAGGCTGCTTGGCGGCTAATGGAGCTATCAGCCAACAGTCAGGAGCAATTTGTTTAGCGCGCTGTCACGCCTTTCTTTTTTACCGAGCCGTTTAAGTTTCCCTCATTTTCTCACCCAAAAAACGAACGAAAAGATCACTGGACACTGAGCATTGACGACGTATTGACCACGAACTCGACCCGCAGGACTCTATTAAGTGTGTACAAAGGTTTCGCTTTCGATTGCTTTGAAAGTTTTGTCCGCCACTAGTCTAGACTGCGTCCGCCCGGCATGGGCTGCTGGTCGGTCCCGCGAAAGATTACCTCATGAATTCCGGGCGCAGCAGACTGCCGGTACCGGCGCGGCTCATAACCTAACGACGCCCCCGGTCGGCCGTTCCTTGCGGCCACGCCCCCCACCGGTTACGCGTTCGGCGAGCATCTTCACAGCGATCGGTGCGGGGATTGGCCGTCGGGATCGTGGTTCCTCCGCTGGTGTCCTGGCCAAATCTAAAATTTTGAAGCTTAAAGTGCAACCGCCGGTCTAGGCGTATAAGTAGTGACCATAAGACAAATTGTTGAGTATAGTTCTGTTTAGGTATTTTAAGGCCCCACCCCATCATCCAGATCCCGACCCCCGTTAGTCTTGTAAATATGGAATTCGCCCAGGGCAGCTTGGGCACTGCAAATTGAATGTACACACGGAATGCAAAGAGTTGTACACGTGCATCCAAGCGCCACTCAGAATGTCTAGAGAAAATAAATACTTCAATATTTTTAGATATGTCATAGAAGCTACTGGTGAATTCTTGAGATATAAGTGTTATTTTATCTTACCTTAATCACAGAAATCCAAGTGTATGAATGCCCATTGGATGGGCAATTGTAAGCGCCAGGCTACTATGTTATGAAAATAAAAACTCCAATACTTTTACATCCATTTATTTATTGGGAATCAAAATTACATTCTTAAACGATTGTGAATACTTCTTTTTCACTCAATGGTTATATAGACCGTTGAAAAGGAGTTGAAATGATATTAAAAACTAATTTTTGATCTTCGACTTTAGTTATTTCAAATCAATTTATTATATTTCTTTGTGAGAAAGTCTAGCCTGTTTCTTAATGAAATACATTGCTTAATAAAGAAGAAATATTTGTTTTTAATAAATCTTTCGAAACAAAGTAAATATCATTTATCTCTGCGATTACAAAAATTTCAATATTAGCTCTTCGCACAAATATATGAATTTCTTTGAGGTGTTTATCTAATTCAACTTCAACCAGATTTGATAAACTTTAATAATTTTAACGATAAAACATGTTGCTGTTGTTACTTTAACAGTAAGAAGTTAAAAATTTAAAGTTTGCCTTATTACACTATTTTTCTTAAATCTTAAATAATATAAATTTAAAAGTAGTTAGGTATGTTTTTGACTACCCCTAACTTTCTGTTACGATAATAACCATGTTACTGCTCGAGACCTTGATCGGTTAACAGAGCCAACGAGCTTTGGCAGTTGACTAGACCCAGAGACTTCGTCTGCCTCTCAATTTCTCATTTCAAGCGGAAAGCTCGCCGCGAACGCACGCAGAACTCGGAGCAGGCGGAAAAAATATAATAAATATTTATAAGTGGCCCAGTATTATTCATCCAAAATATCCAACGATCGAGTGGCGCGTAACCTGTGCGTGAGTGATAAGGAGTTAATTTATAAAGGAAGTGACGAAGTACCCGCATATCTAAAAAACGCAAAAATGTCTCTGCGCAAAAGTTTAACCTTATGCACTGCGCTTCTGTTGGTTCTGCTGTTGGCTGATTGTAAGTACCACATCAGATATAAGACATATATCTACAATGACAACGACCATAAAAGATAGATAGACCCAAACAGACGCACAACTCGATATTTCCACTTCTGCTGCTGGGGAAACTAGTTTCCAGCGCAGCTGGATGGGATCGAGATGGCGATGGCGATGGAGATGGAGCGGCGGCCACTTGGCTAGACAGTTAACAGTTTACGGTTCACCCTTTTTGCTTTAAGTGCCCGTGCCTGTGCCATGATCGAAGACCAGGTCCGGTTCGGGCCTTTGTAACCCAGGCTTACAGCGCATAAATATGGGGGTTTTATTAACCAACAAAATAAAGGGGACCGCCCGTCGTCGCCGCCGCCGTCTGTTCGCAATGAATCGTCCATCAAGGTTCCACCAGGTCGCGAAATTAAATTGCAAGACTTTAATTCCAGGGGACTCCAGCTGGCTCGCAGTGCAGATAAGATTTCGCCAGGGCTTTTACGCTATATGGTACATGATTGATACGCAGTTATTGTAACTGAACAGTTGTGGCCAAAATAATAGCTTATGGCCATAAGTCTTTATAGGAAAGGAAAGTCCACAAAGTCTGGGTATCAGGAAGAAGTTTTTGATAGAAGGCTCTTACCAGAATATTTTTCATTGAATGTTCATAAATATTTTAAATAATTTAAAGAGTTAATACCTATTAAAATTCTCAGTAATCAGATATCATGATATCATTTACTTTTTAAGATTTCCAAAAAAATTCTTTAATTAAATCCTTATTTACCCACACGTTTTTTCCATAAACTTACGCATCTTACTCACTATTTGACTGTCTGAATTATTTTATACCAATGGCATCCGTGTTACCTTGAAGATTATGGGGTGTCAGAACTTTATAAGCATGGTCTTAAGTTATATTATTCTTTGCCCTAAAAGATTGCCTGATAAGAAACCTTGGACTCTTTGACACATATCAAAAGTGGATCAAGTTTTCTTTGGTACAAGACTTTGGTCTGCCGTCACGTACTGAAATCAAAACTGGGTGACTTACGAATGTCAAATGCAATAAATTGCAAGATGTCATGTGATTTTATGGAATTTTGGAAGCTTCCCAGCTACCGCGCGTTTTTAACGCGTTTCGTGAGCGGTTTATGCGAATCGCAGGCGATTGGCAATGGCAAATCGTTTGTGGCATTAGAAATGTGTTTATTGTTTGAGCTGTGCTATATAGTATATATGGACAGGTTTGCAAAATACCATACCTATTCGCACAAATCTTATAATGGTTGAGTACAGCTGAAGACAACGAATTAGGATTGGTTTTAAAAAATTGACTAACAAGTTTGAAGCGAAAATATATTTGTTTTATAAAACGAACATAGAGATCTTCAACAATTCTTAATAAAAAATAAATACAAAATTAATAAAAATATTCTTTTAATTAATCGCCTTTAAGGAAAGTAAAATAATGAATAAATAAGGGTTCATTATTTCTCAGAGTAAGAAAGTTTAGTTAGCAAATAGTAAAAGAAATGATTTTCCAGTTAAGTAACCAATCATTACTATTATCTTAACCGCGTATGTGCTAATTAATGCGGCTTTGGAAGCTCCAACACGCTTTCATGCTGTTTGCCAAAAGCGTAACCCAAAATTCAGTGTCAACTGATAAAGCCACCGGTAAGCAAAACAATCCGTATTGTCTGGGTCTGGTTGGTTAGTTCTGAATAAAAAGTGGAGCTGGCAGATAAGCAAACATATCTGAATCTTGCTGGGTAGTTTAATGGCCCCGCAATTTGGCTGAAAGGTGCTAGTTGCGAAATCTCGTGGTAAATATTTGCGATTCCCTTGAATGAGGAAAGATCTGTACAGGTAGCTCGATAAGCTGTAACCAAATACCCGGCTAATTCAACCGAATGCATTATCTCATTTCTGGTTAATTGCTTTCTCTTTTAGCCCATGCCAAGCCCTCGCAGGACTTAAACACACCGGGCGAGCTAAGTGATCTGAGAGGAGAAGAGAGGAGGAGCGGTGTCCAAAAATAAGACAGCTGTCGTGGAGGTGAGTTGGCCAAACAAAACCCCGGTGGGTAACTGGGCCAGGGGCCAAGAAATCAGGGAAATACAAAATACAGAACGGGACAAAGCCGACGGGACCCAAACGACTGGTTTGACGCACTGACGCATTAAGTAACTACCAATCCCAGACACATTGAAATACGAGCCAGTCCAATGCATTTCGGGTTTATTTTTACCCCAAGAACCGGAAATTTACGCTTTAAAAATGTTTATTTATTTTCACTTTGATTAAATGCAAAAGCCACCATAAGACACGCGCGGCATTCGCCTTTTAAGGGGCTACCAAGAAACGCTTATAAAGACAACAAGAAAAAGCGCACGCAATGAAACTTTGCATAAAATTAAAAAAATATATAAAAAATACGTTGGCTAGAGAGGGTTTTCATCGCCTTAGTCACGAAATTCCATTGATGGGGGGCCTTATAATTGAGAGAGATAATACCAAAAGCCCCAACTCCCCTCTTAGTTTTGGGTGACTCATGGAAGCAATCGGATTCTAGGTAATTCCTTGTCTGCCGTGACGTTTGAATGCCAGAAACCCCTCTCACCGCCTTGGGTAATCCCCCACAAATTCTCCTCAATCAGATTACGATTTTCGAGATCTCCCAACTCGATCTCGTGCTTGTCACCTTTTTTATATGGCTTGCTTATAGTCGTTAGTTGAAAACAAATCGGACATTTACACGAGATAAAGTAGCTTACGGCGAACGAGATTCAGATTGAGACAGTCAGAAAACCAGTCACGTAGTCGTAAAAAAAACTTACACTGCCAATTACAAAGTTGGCTTCTCAACCCCTGCGGTCATCGGGGTCACCAATCTACATTCACAAAGGGTTTCGGGTGAGAGTGATCTCTGGTATCCACTATATATGTAAACAACTTAGTTTTTGTGGAATTTAGCATTCCTTATGGAAAAATATAGTTAACAGATTATGCAAGATAAGTTCAGCTGTCCTTACTTATAATGCTGAAATCATAAACTTGGCTAGTTTAAACAGCTGTAAAGAAAGATGAGTAAAAATTTCACACAGGTGTTCTGGCAATCAAAAACCGACTGTTATCACTTTAACTTGGGTAATTGAGACATAAGTAAGGTGAGTCGCTTTTTAAGTGATGATTAATATGGGAAGAAGTTTGGCTTGAGCAAAGCGTCGAAACTTTCAGCCTTATGAGTCAGCCACAGCTCTGATTTCCTTGTGGTAATATTTTATTTTTAATTGTTAGTCTTGTTACCAAGACAACAATTTGGTTTAATTTTGCACTAAAAAAAATAGCCCTTCTTTCTCTAACGAGAAATACATTCATATTTCCTATAATTTTTCTTTAACCAGTGAAATTTTCTCTTCTGGAATGCACTTTGAAAGTCCATAACATATCCATTATCTTTTTTATTTTATTTACTTAGCCTCTATTTCAAAGCATGAAGGTATGCCATAAGTACCTGACGTTAGCATAGACATAAAATGTTTTAAGCTACTTTTTTATGTATATAAAAAGATGATCTCAATAGTTATAAGCCATTAAAAAAACTTAACCGTATTGTATAGAGACTACTTTTAATGAGCACCACCCACTTTCAAATGCTAGTTCCAAATTTGGAATAGAGCTGGAATAGAATCACGTGCCCGGGGAAATCAATTACTCAAGCGACAGCGAAAGCCGCAGCGATGACACGAGCCTCTTTTTATTTTGGTTACCGGTCTACACAGAAAAAAAAATTAAAATCACTTTAAAGATATTAAAAATAGATAAGTTAGGGTTATGTATTTAATTGATGAAACGGAAATATTTTATGTAGTAAAGTTTATAATTCAGAGATATCGGTTTTGTTTTTTTTTTTTTTTAGGATTCTGTACCGGATTCCGACTCAGAAGCGGAATCAGAGGAACAGCAAAGGCGTTCATATCCCCACCGTGATGAAGATCAACTTAACTCAGCCACCAACTTGGTTTTGGCCAGAAACTACAAGTATGATGTGGAGATCCTAGAATCTGGAGATGCAGACCAACAGGAAGACAGTAACATGGATGATATGGACGATCTGGAAGAGCGTTTCAAGGGACGCGGTGTGGTTTTCAGCACGGACACTGACACCTTTGCCTCTGAGAATATCGAGATGACCCCAGTGGATGTGCAAGCGGATGCGGTTAGTCAGGGACACGTGTTGCTTGGCATCGTGGTAGTGACACTGGCCTTGCTTTCCATTGGCCTGTACGCCGGCCTGGTCTTATGGCGCTCGCACCTGGAGTAAGTTCTTGGTTCTAATTGCCGTAATTTGCAGAGTGCTAATTCTTCACCTTTTGCTTGAATAGGCAGCGGTATGGAATGCGCGAGCGGTTGGTGAACCGGGATCTCGAGGAGGAGGCGGGCGGCGCTGAAGAAGTCGATTATCACGTCTACGCCCCGACTACGACGCCAGCAACGTCCAGGGCGTAGTCCGCAGAAAATCTGGTCCGATTTGAACCTATCCAGTGTGCGACAATTGGACCTGGTTGCGGTTTAAGTGCGCACTCACCACATAATATAGACGACGATATATTCAATCCCAGCGACAGAGATGGAGGATGGAGAGTGCGCTCGAACGTCTAATGAATGCCATAAATTTCCACGACAAGCTGAAAAGCATTCCGCTTCCCAATTACACTCTAATGGCGATGCTAAAGGTCACGCCGATATCTAGCATCGCAGTTGACAAGACCCAATTAGTTAGTAAGTTTCTGTGATATTGTTCTAGAGATTCTTTTGTACGTCCTTGCACTAACAATATGCATAGATCGCAAGTTGGTAAACGATAATAAATTCCAATTTGTAAATGTAAATTAAATGTAAAGTATGGTGTTTTTATTTTAAAAGGATTTTATTGATGCTGAATCTAATAAGGTAATGAGTCAGAAATAATTTTAAAACTTAATGAATAAAGTGAGTAACCGAATGAATGCAGCATACTAAATGTGGATTACACACATTTGCACATTTAAGTTATTCTACCTTTTTTTAATAATTTTTTATTTCTAAAAAACTGATTTATCTATTTTAAATTTCTACTTCTTAAACTTTCTTTCACTAACTGCAAGCATTGTCTATATAAATCTAATAAAGTTTCCTAATGTTAGTTTCTGTATTAATAGCTTTAATTTCGTCTTATTTTGGTATTAAATTTTGGTAAATTATTTTCCTTTAAATTTAAATTTAAATTATTCGCGCTTTTGGATATTTTCCAAAACTGAAAATCTAAATGTATCGCAGCCAACTTCGCTTGTATACTTCAGAAGAACTATTACGATGCGAACTAGCTCATGAAAAAGAATATTTTCGCATTTTACTGTTTAGCTGACAGAGAAAAAGAAAGAAATGATTGTCTTCGATCTTTTAATGATAAATTAATTGTCTTTAATATATTTGTGAACAGTTAGATAGTAATCGTGATCTCGACAAGCAACAAGTTTGCTGCATCAACCGGAACCAGTTCACTCAGGTCTTATTTCGCGCACTATCCAACACTGCCATCAGCTGTTACCACATGGCCATCCCGATTTTTTGGCCTGCACTTTGAACCTTGCGTTCGTTTCGCTGCGAATAAAGATACGAATTTGACTGCGCCTGTCCGCATTTCAGTTCGTCCTGCTCCGCCGTCCAATTGCCCACCGCACTTTCATCGGTTCAGAATCCCGCGGAACTCGCTGCCGTGCACATCGCATCGCATTTCCACTAGCTGCGTTTTCAGCATTTTTGGTTCGCTCTCTCCGGTTTTTATAGAGCGCTCCGTTCCGCTCTGCTCCGCTCTCTCTCCGCGCGCAACACTCTACAATTCCATTGATAAGCAGCGCCCGCCGCCTCCTCCTGTCCCGCCCCCGCCGCGGCTGCCGAATTCCGTCTCGCCCCCTTTTCTCTGAAAAAGTGCAAAGCAAAGCAAATCAATCAATTAAAAAAGTACGGCGAATAGTAGTGCAAGTGCGTGTGTTAATTAATTTAGTTTGCTTCATCCGTTCGCACATTCTGTGTTTATTAATTAGCAGTTCATAGTTTCCGGCGGAAAAACCAGCGACGTTCCGTATTATTTTCGAGCTTCCGTTCGACGGCCAATTACCAGGTGAAATACAAAAATATAATACAAAAAAAAAAAAAAAAAAAAAAAATATAAAAGGATAAGCCATCATGACGCACTGGGAGGACTTCTACAACACGCACCTGCCGCCCGCGGATTTTGAGGACAATCGTTCCCTCCTCAAGGAGTTCTGCGAAAGGCATAACAAATTACAGAACCGCATCGTCCTTGTCACGGTGAGTAGGGCATCCCAATCCGGATTAGGATTAGGGTCCAAGAACCAATTCTTAAAAACCGTACACCGTTAATTAACTGCCCGGCGGACTGGGGTTAAGCTGACCCCAAAAACTGGTGAAAGCTTTAAAGGCAAAACGGGCGCCTGGGGCCTTTAAAACAACACATTTAGTGTTAGTGTGGATGTGCATAAATTTAAGTCAGCTAGAACGAAAGTCTTTAATGTTAAGCACATGCGAAGGTTAACTTTAAGTTTATTAAGCACCTTTAAAATATGTTTTAAATAAGAGAATAAAACTATTTTGGAAGTTTTTAGATAAGATTAACAAAGATTAACAAACATTGAGTTCATTGATTTAAATGTTAAAAATAAAGGTTCTTTGTTCAAAGATAAATGTTCAAAGTGTTAACTATTTAAACATTATTTACATAAAATGTATACAGAATGCATGAATATATTGTTTATGCTTAATTGAACTGTATAAGTGTTTTAATGAACAATTTCAAAAGTATAATAAATATAAAAAACTCTGCAAAAAAAAGATAATATAAGGTAAATAGTAATAATTCCAATGTTCTTACTTCATAATTGAAAATAAAAAAGGGAAAAATAGATTTTAAACTAACTAAAGTGAAGTTAGTAAAAAAGATTTAAATTATATTTTATAATTTACTTTTATAATTGCATCGTTCCTTAACATAGGAAATATAGTTTTTGGTACTTTATTTGATTCATAAAGCTCAACGCTAAGCATTTATTTTCGGGTCAACTGGTGTTAAATCTCTGGGGCAGCCTAATCCGTCTTTGATTTACGCAAATGTTCAGAAAGAAGGCATAGAAGTTTTTCTTTTTATGATTTATGGCCAATGTGCAGTCTCATATAGGAGATTTGATTAACTACCTTAGATGAAATATTGGTTCCGAAATATATTTGGCCTTTTTCTAAGTGACTGAATTTTGCTTGATAATGTTAAATATTATTAATTTATTGCAATATAATATAATTTTACAAAGTATTATTATGCTATGTTGCAATTCTGATAATCTGTAAAAAAGAAATTGTAATGCGAACTTAATACCTACTTTTAACTTAGAAATTTGATGTAAAAATTGTATATAATTTTAAAAGCATCATTTGGGGTAAGGCAAAGGCTACTTAATTTATTATATTAAAAGGAAAACCTAAGAAATTAAGGAATAAAGAAATAAAGGAAAAATTAAAATAATTAAAATCTTTAATAAAACTTTTATTTCTTCTCAATTTCCAGTCCGGTGGCACCACAGTTCCACTGGAGCACAACACAGTACGATTTGTGGACAACTTTAGTGCTGGCACTCGAGGCTCTGCTTCGGCGGAATACTTCCTGGATCACGACTATGCCGTGATCTTTATGCACCGTCACAAATCACTGGAGCCCTTCACCCGGCACTTCACTGGCCAGCAGTTCTTCGACATGCTGGACATTGCGGACAATAGCCAGAGCTCAACGATAGCCATCAAGCCGGACTCGGTGGATGTGTTTGCACCAGTGTTGGCCAAGTACAAGATTGCCCGCGAAACACAGATGATTCTGTACGTGAACTTCACCAGTGTGGTTGACTATATGTGGCTGCTCCGTGCCGCCTGTGAGTGTTTGGCCGCCTTCGAGGAACGGGCCGTGCTTTACCTAGCAGCTGCCGTATCCGATTTCTACATACCCGAGGACATGATGGTAAGATGAGACTCCGGCCGGATGAGGCGAGTGGGCGGCCATGTGGGAAATCTCGTAATTGATTGCGCTCGTCACTGGGCGAGTGCGGAATGAGTGAGTGGAAATTGGTTTTTATCGATTTCCAAAGCTGCACTGCGGGAAATGATGGAAAATATTACTTGGTATTGCAAGTAAGGACAATGCAGAAGGCATAATGATTATGGATTCTTATCGATTTGCAAGGTTGCAGTGCGGAAATGAGGAAAATTTTACCTAGCACTTTCAACACTGCAATAGCTTAAGCCATAATGATTCTGCACTTTTCACGACTGCCAAGCCAAGTTTCACAGAGCAAAAATATGTTTGTTCTTAGGAGAAAATTGAAAATATAAAGACTGTAGAGTGCGTTTAAGCGAACCCAAGTTTTATGTAGCTTTTCTCACAGTGTGTCTCTAGTTGCTTTCGATGCCCTTGTGCCTGGTGCTCCTTCCGATTCCCGGTCGCTATGGAAGTCCCCGGTCTGTGACACATTTCCTCTCCACATTATTGACGTTCGACTGGGCTAAGTCAACTATGGGTTGCTGCCTGCTCCTACTGTTTCTCCTCCATCAGCTCCTTCTGCTGGCCACCGGGAGTCTTATCACAAACTGTCAGTGTCACTCACGGTGGCCTTGTGGCCTTGTCCGCCAGCAGCCTTAACATTGTCATCGTATAATTTGATTTGCATAATTTTGCTTGTTAGCGTGTTTCTGCTCTACGCTTCACTTGATTCCTGCCACCCACCCATCTCTCATCTATTTTTTTTTCCTAGTATTCACCTTTTGCTTTCATCTAGCTTTATATTGAGTGTCGAGGTGGGTGGGACGGGCGTGTTTACCTGTCAGGAGCCCATCCTTTCGCAGTCTGTCAGCTGACTTGTTGGCGCAGCAGCAAAAGGCTTTCAAGTGCATCAAATGTCCATTGGTGGGGCGTGAAAGGCTCTGCCTGTCAGCCCTACATATTTACCTGCCCGTTTTGCATTTGCATAGCATCACACATGTATTTCAGATGAATATACAGACGAGGTCACATTTATAGCACCGTCATTCCCTTGCGCACTGTCATTCCCTTGCGCACTGTCTTCTTTTTAAATTATTTTTCATAATGTTTGGCCTTAAAGTTGAAATTAAAGACAAAAGCTTTTAAAAATGGAAAATATTAAATGAGAAATGTTGGCTTTTAGCTGTGACTGCTTTCTAGAGTAACAATGAAATAAATAAATAAGGGTTTGTGTTTTATTAATATATTAACCAGTTTTTTAACCATATAAATAAACTAATTGAATTGGATAATGTATTAAGTCAGACTTCTAAAATCCTTTAACAGCCGTAAAAGCAACTGATAGATTTATAGATTCCATCTTATGTACTGCTGTTTTGACTTTATCTGTGCATCACTTGGTAGATGCTATGGGTGGTAAGCACGGAAACTTCCTTGCCACCGCCAACCACCTGAGCCAGAATCTGATTTCGATTCCGAGCATCGTCGTGGCATTTCCTACGCCTTGTTTCCGCTCAGTTCGTGCATTTCCCGTTCGCTTTCTCGCTTAAGACGTACGCCCACTTTGTCTGTGTATGCACACGTCTCGTTTAATGTGTGTTTGTGTGTGTTAGCCACAAATGGTCCGTTCACTTGATTAAATTGTTAGATACTCTCACGGCCCATTTGCCTTGGGTAAAATGTAGAATATGCCCAGAAATGCCAGAAATGGCGAAAATGGCCTGTTGATGTTTATGCACGTGTGTGTCTAGTCGAAATTTATGCGCATATTTGGCATCATCTTTGAGTGCTGCTCATAGTCTTTCCCGGGGGCAAGCACGATTTACCCACAATCGATTTGGATTTGCATAATAACCTTTTGGCAATGTATAAATAGAAGCAGTCAAGCTCGATGCATTGAAAATAAACCACGCTCAAGTTGCTTTTTCAAGTGGCTTCAAGGACTTTGCGCTGCTCAAAAGTAGGCAACTAAAATCTATTTCCACCCATTAGCTCTTAGCTGAGTTTCAACGAAAATTGAAAACTCATTCCCAAAGATCCAGACCGTCGTCTCGTCGTTAGCCCTAAAGCCCACAAGGTCAGCTCCCATACTGAATTTCAAAAAGTCAAAACCACAGCCCAGACACGTTTGCCGAGCCACTTGCCAAAGTTTGTCGCTGCTTACATACATATAAATGAGTGTATATGGTATGGTATTAGTACCAGTACCCAGCAAGATGATAATAAAAATTCAATTTCACAATCGCATCATCACGAGCGACGCACACGCCTCTAGAAAAACAAGGCCTAAAAGCCTTTACAAATTTATGCAAGGACCGAAGAATGGAGGCGAAGGCAACTTGCTATACAATTTGAATTAAATTCAGGACCCAGGGGGCGAGGTGGTTGTGGACCAAAAAGTAAATTGTACTCGTAATAAGTAAGAACAAACAGAAAATTAAAAGAGTAAACTAAGTTGAGGCAGGCGAAAAGCGAAGGCAGGACAAAAGGCAACGTGCCGAAATCCGCAAATCAAATCAAAAGATTTTACAAGAGCACGCATCAACGCACAGGCATACTGCAATTGGATTCTACGAAGGGAAAACAGAGCGGGAAAGCAGGAAAAGCGGGAAAAGCGAATTCAATGTCAACAGCTGCTAGCATTTCCCAGCAAAAGCAAGAGCCGCAAACTTTTTCCTCCCCAAAAAAGCTTAAAGTTTCCATCCTTCGACTTTCCTTTCGCTTTTCGTTGTCGACTTAATGCCCTGAGCTAAATTTTTCATTTCTCCTCGTCCAATGTCCCCGGCTACTTAGGCGTGTCCGTCCAACTGTCCAAGCTGTCCCCTTGTCCGTTTGTCCGTCCAGTTGTCCGGCAACTGTCCAACCGCATTGTCCGGCTGTGCCCGCTTTTGTGTGCCGGATAAATGAGACTGGTCAGCAGCTTAGAGCAGCTTACGGCGTTGCTCAGTTAATGAGAACGGACAGGGGGCGTTCAACAAGTTGCTGCTGGCCCACATGGCGTATGAGAGATATTTTTAGCAAACCTTTAAAAAAAAGCATCCTTGCAAAGGATGTGCAGCCAGGCGTTGTCGTTAGCTCATTACGGCTGAGTTATGCTTTCAATTAGTTGTAATTCATATGCCACGTGGCTTAAAAAAAAATAGAGGTTGGAAAATATACAGAATAAAAAGCGAAAGCTGAAAGGCAGCCCTGGCCTTTCATTTTGCCGTCTGTCTGTTTATTTTGCAAGGACACTTTGCTGCCCGAGTGTGCGTACGAGTGTCTGTGCTACATTGTGTGTGTGTGTGTGTGTTCATCTTCTTTTCCATTTAAGAGGATGTTGCCGCGGTGGCTTTTGTGGGCAACGAACCAGCCAACCGACCAACCAATACCAAACACATCGCGTATACGCAACGTGCGTCCATCATTCCATTAAAACACTAACCGCTGTCAACGGATTTTTCAGCCCACCCACAAAATGCAATCGGGAGATGGTGCGCCAACGATTTCGCTGCAGCTGGTGCCAAAAATGCTGGCTCCCCTTGCCAGTTTGTGGGTCCCTCACGCCTTTGTGGTGTCCTTTAAGCTGGAAACGGACGAGAGCCTATTGATTGTGAAGGCACGTGACAGCCTCAACAAATACAAGCACAAGGTGAGTTTTCGCTGGTACCTGGTAACTGCTTGCTTCTGGACAGGAATCACCCACCGCCCTTCCGCTCACTAATCCGAATTCTAATTTCTTCCGCGTCATCATCCAGCTGGTCATTGCCAATGTGTTGCAGACACGCAAACATCGCGTGGTATTCGTCACGCCCACAGATTCCTACGAGCTGCATTTGAGCCGCGAACAGACGCTGCAAGGACTCGAGATCGAGGAGCCCATCGTTGCCGATGTGGTAAGTGACTAAGTGGTATAATAACATTTAAATTTAACTTAGGCGTGTTTGTTTTATGTTTTAAGTTAGATTTATTTTAGTTAAGTCTCTAGTTTAAGTCTGCTTTAGGTCCTTAATGCCTCAGTCTAAACTGTCAATTTTAACTTGTTTTTACAGGTGCAAAAGCACGGGGAGTTCATCAACAACGCTCAACAGCGTCAATGACCGTTATCAATGCGTCGGCGGCCACAGACGCAGCAACATGTGCAGCATCAACACCACCACCAACTGGCCACCGGCGATGAGGATGACGATGCAGAGGATCTGGATCGGGATCCTTATTGCGTGACCAGTTCGCATTATTGCCGCGTTCTGAATCCGGGCACGCCAAGCTTTGCCCGAAAATATTGAGCAGGTTATTATATAGTCAGTCCATAGTGAAATACTGAAATGTGAATGGCAGACATTTGCATATACCTTTCACTTTTTTTGAGTTCCCGCCACAGTTTATCTATTTATGGTCGCTCCTTATAATTGAGGTGGCTTTGCTCCATTAGTCCTTTCCCTTGTTATTGTTGTTTTAATATTAGTTAATGTATTTCGTTTATTGTTGTCATGAGAAATGATGTCACTTGTATGTATTCACCATCCCCGTTTTGTTCCTTTTCTTCGTCTTCGTCTATTGTCTGGTGGCACGTTTATGTTATCGAGTATACGCAGTGTGTTGCGCAGACATCAATAAGCGATTTTGATTTATGTTTGTGCCGGGGTTTATGATGCTTACTTTTATTTTTTAATGAAGCATCGATCGATCGTCATCTTTAAATCCCTAAAACATGTGTGTTTAAAATCCGTGAAGTAACGAAAAGCGTTGCATGCAATCGCAATTTGCCGGACGAATCGTCCCTGGACAACGGGTGTGCTGTCAGTGGCAGGCGACGCGACAATTGATTTGCTGTTTTGCATATGTATATATATATATATATATATGGTGTAGGTCTGTATAGCAAAAAAAGAGAAAAGCTTGGCCCGTCAAATGTCCTTGTCGGTTCAAATTTATGGCGGCTCAAGCCTTGGGCGCCTGTCGATCCAAAGCGGGTCAAGTGCCAACGAGCAAAGGTCAGCTTAAAGCACCTCAAATTGAGTTTCAAAGCGGTGTTGCAAAACCTAATTAACATCCCAAACACACACTCTCACAGTGAGTTATTTCTTGGCCAGACTGAGATAGGCAGGCCTTCCGTATCTGTATCCTCAGGGTCCTTTTGCGGACCGCCGCCCTTTCCACATTTTTATTGCATGTTATGTCGTTGCCACGCCGCTCTCACGTCCTCTGTGCTCCGCCCTCGACCCTAAACCCAAAGCTCAAAGCCGCCTGCTTAAACGGCCTGGCGGTGAAGGGTTGGCGGTGGTTTCTGTTTTTTTTTTTGTATCCTCCTTTCATGGAGTTGTAACCACTTCCGTCCCGCCCGCATTTGTGGTTTTATTTTTCAGCCCAGAACTATGCAGTGTTTTGTGTTGTTTGGCCTGCTGTGTTTTTTTTCAGACCGGGAAAAAAATTCACATTTTTTGTGACGTTGGGTTTTCTGTGTGTGTTTGGGGTGGTTTGCTGGGCGGACCAGCTCCCTTTTGTTTGAGCCTGCATCAAATTAAATTTTATTGCGCTCGCACGCACCACAAACACAGGCCTGGCAAAAAAACAGAGATACTACGGGAAACAATCACACATGTGGCTTAGGATTTAAGCCTGGCTCCGTTTTTCCTTTGTTTTCACTTTCTTGTTGGTCGGTTTTTATGGCCCCTCACCTACACGTGCACCCACCCACATATCAAGTCTGCCTCATGTGTATTTCACAAACAAACGCCTGCTGCCCCCGCGTATCGATTGTGCATTAAAGTATAAACATAAAAATTCAGTTTGCCAACATGAGTTGCGTACAATAAAATATGTATAACTAGCCAACAAGATGGGGACTCTTCTTGGAAGGCGAGTGGATGCGGAGATGGTATTTGCCTTTATTGGCAAGCGATGTATTTTTTTCTTAAAGCTTACTAAGAGGATACTTAAGCATGCCAACCATAAATTAACTACTTAAATAACTGATAAGTTTCCAAAACATAAATGTAAATTCAAGAGGAACCTCTCCATATCCATAAATTTAGGACTGAATTCTGAATTGATTTTATAAACAGACATCGGACAAGCACTTTCTAAGTAGAACTCAATACTCGAATCATTAACCTCTAACTAAGTACATTAACAAGAAATTCAATAAATAAGAAAATCAAAAGTTCAACTACTTTTCAAGTCATCAAATATATATGAAATCTATTCTATATACATAACATGTACTATAATATCCAAGAGCGGAATAAAACCAAGTGAACCAATTTGTTAAAGTTTCAATATCCAATTTGGACCAACCCATATAAAAATAAAAGAAAAATTAGAACAAAATAAAATACGAACAAGAAATATATATATATATGTATATCTCGATGTATACCTTGAAAAAAATGAAAGAAAAAAGAAACCAAGGAATTTCCATTGAATATTTACTCTCTACAAGCATTTTGCCCTCTAAGCTAGATAACTATTTTATTGTTAAAATTGGTAAAAAAAAAAACTAAAAAAAACCAAAACACCCAAATCAAATTGTACGCAATGCAGTTATGGCCATTGCACCTGCCCTCTTTCTTACCGGAATCCATGAGCTGTTTAACTGTAAAACTGTTGTAAAATGTTTACCACAAATGTACCATATACCGTATATTGAATCTACTAATAATGTCTAGTATCCGTATACTTATACTTCTACAAAGATACATAAATATATATATATTTGAGTGTGTATTAAACTGGAAATGAAATAGCTTTAAATGTATAGAAAAAACAAGGTGTTTTATTTACCAACAATGGGTTGGATTGGGTTAAATGTTCCCTTAAAACCATTAATACTAAGTATGTACAATGTTGTTAGCTATAAAATAATAACTGGTGTTTGTTTTTTAAACAATTCATCGCTTTTAAAGCTGATAACTACATAACAACACTTTAAACTTGGCCAAGATTAAATGACTTAATACAACGGAATATAGATTAGTTTGGCAAATCGGTGAACTTAAACTTGAGCGGTATGTTTGGTAGATTAATCAGAGCAGATCGGAAGGCTTTCTCTGTGGGATAATTGAACTCCACGTTGAAGTTGCGAATAAGTCGAGCTGTGCCCAACTCCAGTTCCATCTCCACGATGCGTTTGCCCACACACATACGAGGTCCGAAACCGAAGGGTAGGAAAACGAAAGGATTCTTGGACTTCAGTTCGTTGGCAGGGCACTTTTCCTCTGCATCCTTGGGGCTTCGCAGCCAACGTTCGGGAAGGAACTTTGAGGCCTGTGGGAAATAATCATCCCTAGTCAAGGCATGCAGTGGAACGATGGACACATAAGTTCCAGCTGGTACTTGGTATCCACTGAGGATAGCATCCCTAGAAAGGACCCGAGCATTTCCCACAATTAGGGGACGGACGCGTTGACTTTCCTTAATACAAGCACGCAGATAGGGAACGTTCTTCATTGAAGCCTCGGTGAACTCAGAGTCCTTGTTGGGCAGCACTTTCATCACCTCCTCCCGAAGCCTGGCCTGCTTTTCTGGATTCTCTGCGAGGCACAGCATGAGAGCTGTAAAGGTGCTAGATGTCTGAATGGAAAATGTAAAAGTTTAAGGGGACTTCAAAAATGATTCTATAAATTATTCACCGTATCCACTCCTGCCATCAACATGTCCATGGCCATAACTGTGGCCACTTTCCGATTAACTTTCAGCAGTTTCTCGAGGACACTTTGCTCATTCTCCGGACGCACAACACCCGCCTTGGTCTCCTTATCCAATCGATCAATGGCTTCGTCAACGTACCCCAATGTGACTTCCTGGATACCATCTAGAGCTTTCAGCAATCGCTTCAACTTGGGTGTTTTAATATAGCGCCAGGGCGAAGGCTTCATCTCTAGGTCTGCAGATACTATGAAGAATTCATCCAGATAGTGGAAGAGCTTGAGTGCTTCGCTCTCCTTCTCCGTATCCTTGAGGAGACCCAACTGCTTGTCCAGGGCCACCACCGAAACGGATTCAAGGGTCCAGCGGTTAATAGTGTCTATGAAATCACCGGGGACTTCTAGAGTAGTGGGATCTCTCAATTCTTTGATACTATATATGGAATGTGATTTATGAATCAGTTTTTACTATAATTCCAAGTGTCTTACCGTTGGACAAACTCCTGATTAACCTGCGACATCTTCTTGTAATAAAGTCTCACATTCTTTGGTTGCATAAGAACGGGATTGACAACTGTCCTAAAGTCACCCCAAGATTTTCCCTGTGAGGGAATGATGCCAGTGATGCCTTCATAAAAATCCTTTCTGTACTCCTCGCGATGATAGCGCAGTGTATCGTTACCCGGACGGTGGGGCCAAATTCCTTCATTGCGGAAGATAACTTCAAAGTCCATGGGATTGTGGGTGCTCACAAAGGTTGGGTTACCCATTGTGCCCGGCAAAAAGAATATGTCGCCATAGTCCTGTCTCATGGCCTCAAACATTTCCATAAGTTCCATGTTTTTGTATTTACCACCGGGCATGAACGTTTTCATCATCAATCCCATCATATTGACACGGGGAATCTGGGAAAATGGCTTGGCCTGCAGCCATTCGGAATCCTCCCTAGCCTCAGCAGTCGCCACATTAGTTTGCCAGCGCTGAAAATTACAAATATATATTGTACATTATGATTAATTTGTTTATTGGCTAATACAACTTTACTGCCTTCTAGTTAATGTATAAAAAACATAAAAAAAGAGAACGCCACTTGATAAACTCCCTGATAGCTACTAGATTAATTGTTTATATTTAATACAAGTATTTACTTTTTGAGTGCTGAGCGAGAGAACCGCTTTTTGCGATTGAATTAATGACAGGCCACTGCGCACTTTCAGCATTTTTGCGATGTTTAGAACTTTTCCCGTTCACCGCCAAAACAAAACTGAGAACCGGGAAAACGTTCTATTAGCTTTATAATTCTTAGGCTGCGAGAGCTTTAACGCTTAATTGAACGATAACAACGCACAAACTGAGAGATAGCTAAACACAGAGAACTGCCTTCTAAACAGGTTCCAAAGAGAACATTTATGAATTAATAGCAAGCATACAAACTAAAACAAAGAATTGGCTCACTTTAAGAAATGTTTAATGGTGAAATGGCAACAAACCTAATCAACTAATAAACATAATAAAAAATTGGTCGTATTTTTGAACACTTCTTATCTCTCTCTCTAACAAACATCTAACCCCAATAAACACAAACAAATTAAGTGCTTCCCCCTTGCGTATCGGTCATTGTCAATGCCAGCAAATTGTAGTCACCATGACTGGTAAATATAAACATTTTCCAGAAGCTATAACATGGTCAGAGCTTTTAATACAATACTCGTTTAATATCTTTAAATCAGCAAGAGAAACTTTAAACTTTTGTTTTATATATTGTTAATTTATTTTAACTAAATTTTATTATAATTTAACAATACTACGTTAAGTATATCCCCAAGACATATGAGTTTTTAAATAAAACTTATCTTATCACAACACAAAATAACAGAGTCAAGACCCTTTCAAAAACATATTAGTTGGCTAAATCAGTAAACTTAAACTTGAGTGGAATATTGGGCAGATTGATAAGAGCAGAGCGGTAGGCATTCTTGGTGGAATAATTAAACTCGACGTTGAAGTTGCGAAGGATTCGGGCAATGCCCAGCTCCAGTTCCATTTCTACAATGCGTTTGCCCACACACATACGAGGTCCAAATCCGAAGGGCAGGAACACGAAGGGATTCTTAGTCTTTAGATGATTTGCTGGGCATTTTCCAGCGGAATCACTAGTGTTTCGTAGCCAGCGGTCGGGCAGGAACTCCAAAGGTTTCGGGAAGTATTCCTCTTTGTATAGAGAACTTATTGGTATCATGGAGACAAAAGTACCAGCTGGGACCTGATAGCCACTGATCACAGAATCCCTGGTTAGTCCACGGGCATTTCCCACGGTTAGTGGATATATTCTCTGTGACTCCTTAATGCAGGCTCGTAGATAGGGAACGTTCTTCATTGAAGCCTCTGTGAATTCGGAGTCCTTGTTGGGCAGCACCTTCATCACTTCCTCCCGAAGCTTGGCCTGCTTCTCCGGATTCTTGGCAAGGCACAACAAAAGTCCGGTAAAAGTGCTTGAAGTCTGGATAAGAAGTAAATTGTTATTGATTTCCATACATATTCCTGACCACTTACCGTATCCACTCCAGCCATCAGCATGTCCATGGCCATAATCGTGGCCACTTTCTTGTCAATTTTCAGCAGTTTTTCAAGGACACTTTGTTCATTCTCCGGGCGCACTACACCCTTCTTGGCCTCCTTCTCCAAGCGAGCGATCGCCTCGTCCACATAGCCCAAAGTAATGTCCTGTAGACCATCCAAAACTTTTAGCATTTTTTTGTACTCCGGCGTTGGGATATATCGCCAGATAGAAGGTTTCATCTCTAGGTCGGCTGAGAGCAGGAAGAAGTCATCCAGATATCTGAAAAGTTTGGTTGCTTCGCTATTCTTCCCCGAATCCTTGAGAAGGCCCAGCTGTTTATCCAGGGCCACCACAGATACCGATTCGAGAGTCCAGCGATTGATGGTGTCTAAGAAATCACCAGGTACCTCCTGAGTTGTAGCATCTCGAATGTCTTTGATGCTAAAAGTAAATATATTTTTATATAATTAATTAAATAGTTGTAGGTTCTCATACCGCTGAACAAACTCCTGGTTAACCTGCGACATCTTCTTAAAGTACAACCTTACGTTCTTGGGCTGCATAAGAACGGGGTTTACTACGGATCGAAAGTCTCCCCATGATTTTCCCTGTGAGGGAATAATGCCTTGTACTCCGTCGAAGAAGTCTTTCCTGTATTCGGTTCGATGATAGCGCAAAATATCACTGCCCGGTCTCGTTGGCCACACACCTTCATTCCGGAAGACCACCTCGAAATCCTTGGGGTTGTTTGTCATTACAAAGGCAGGACTGCCCAACATGCCGGACATGTAGAATATTTCTCCATAATCCTGTCGCATGGCATCAAACATTTCCATAGTTTCCATTTTCCTGTACTTTCCTCCCGGAAGGGCAATTTTGGCAAATAGAGATAGCATATTGGCCCGGGGAATATCTTTGAATGGCTTGGCCTGGAGCCATTCCGGGTCATCTCTTGGCTCAGCTGCTGCCACATTAGCCTGCCAACGCTGGAATATATTTTATTATAAAGATTATGTTTATACTTTATAATAATGTAACACCATATTGATAGTTCTCAACCTTTTAGAAAATTTCTTACTATTATTCTGTCTGTTAAACCCTTTTCCTTCCATTCTTTGTTGGTAATAAAAAGTATTTGTTTACCTTCTGACTGGCAGAGAAGAGAGACGCTTTTTGCGACTGTTGAATAATAAAACTGATTCGCGTTTTCAACATTTTTAGCACGCTAAGAACTTTGCTTGCTGACGATCAGAAAGACTCTACCCATACTAGCTATACTCTTAACATTTTCGGAGGCCGAGCGAGCTTTACTGCTAAATTCGGTAAATAAAACGCTCGAAATGATAAATTGAGAGCGGCAGAGAGGAAGTGCCGAACAAGTTCGCGCATTTTTGAGAATTGCTTATGAAAATATATGGCAAGCATTAGGTCATTAAAAAAAAGCTACATGTTCTTATATGTCATAGTATAGACACCAAGGTACCCCTTAATAGATGTAGGAAGTGCTAAAAGGAAATATTTTTGTTTTTTCGAAAACATTGCAGCCCATGCTAGCCTTAAACGATGTACCCAATACAATATAAGCAGTATCATCTCTGATGGGAGTGGACAAGTTTATTGACGTAGGTTCAAAAATTTTTATTAGCTAAATAAAAAGTTTTGTGGCAAATATTATATCTAATCAGCTGGAACAAACTCACATTCAGCTAACTCATCGGTTTCTGACCAAACTTTCTGCGTTGCCAAACAATTTCAAAATTTTGTTTGATAGGAAGAACTAATTGCATCAGAAAAATTTGACTATATAGTCGCTATAAAAATAATCTTTTGATTCCCAGTTCTCAGTCTTATCATTGAAAACAAAATAAACTACATAGATATTTTTGCATTTATTTATTTAGACATTATTTGTATTAACCATATATGTATTTGTTCAAACACCAAAAAGTTTTTTGTTCTTGCTAATCAAATTGTTGGCATACTCATTGATAATAGTTGCAATCTGATAAAGTATACAAAATTACATACTCGTAAAAGGAAATATAAATATTCGTTTAGTTTAATGACTTAATTATAGATTACTAATTAATTAAAGTTGCAAAAATCGTTTGAGTTTGCATACGATAAGCATATTTTTTACATGACAATTTCCGCGCGAAACAATTTGGCACGCTGGGCAAAGATATATAGATATATATATATATATGTATATATGTATAGTATGTTTATATGGGGCGATTCAGAGTATATATAATTCGTTGACTCTAAGGACTAAGTGTCTATGACAGTTTCGTATAGTATTTATATGATAATTCCTTTAGCATTGAGCAGGGTTAACTCGCAGAATAACTGGAACTAATCCTGGCTGGCAGATCCATTCGTCTGCTGGTAGTTGCACACAATCTTGGCCGCATCGTTCATCATCTTGGCCGTGGAGCGGACGAGGAACATCAGATGACATTCGTCGTATACGGTCAGCTCCACCCGAGTTCGCACCAATCCATGGAGCACGGTGGCCCTTTCCAGGTCCAACCATCGCTGAAGGGCCAATTCCCTTTCCTTGATGGATCCAGTGAGCGCCACATCCGAGGGACCCCACAGCACAAACTCCAGGACTGCCTTTGCCTTGGACAGGGATTCGGCTCGTTCCTGCTGCAGGATGTCTGCCAGGATAGGCGTGATTTTTGTGGCAGGAAGCATGTCGGTCAAGGCGGAGTGGGCGCACTTGCATAGCGTTCCCATGGGCTCATCGTCGTCATTGTTGTTTCTACGGAGGGGTAGAAGTTTATTAGTAAGATATATCCAAAAAGTAATGATTATTTCGAACTCACCCCTGCAGCACACAGAGTCTCGCCTGGGCGTCCTTGTTGTCCATGTCCTTGGACAGCACCACATTGGACAGACTAAGCGGCGTCTCCTCGATCGCCTTGGCCTGCAGGTTCTTCATTCCGTTGACCAGCTGCAGCATGATGAAGGCCACCTCCCGCGTCATCACATCATCGAATGCAGGCATGGCATTTGCATTGGTCAATCCATCCTCTCCACCCATTGATGTGGCCGAGGATTCTTCGTTTAGGGTACTCAGATTCTGCACCGAGACCACGTTCCTCAAATTTCCAGCAATTGTTCCATTTCCATCCTTCAGTCCACTGAGATTGGGAATGGAGCCGCGGAAGTTGAAGTTGCTCTTGTCCAGCACCTGCGACTTGCCCTTGAGTATTGATCCGATCGATTGGAGAGTCTCCAGTTGCAATCTTGGTAGCACTGAGATGGTGGCCTGCAGCAGGGTCACCTCTGTCGAGGGCATCAGTGGCAACTGGTAACTGGGCACCAGGTCACAGAATTCGGTCACCGGGTTGAGCACATCGCTTACTCCACCGGTCAGCTGACTCAGTTCACCACCAACGCCGGCCAGTTGGTTGCAATCAGCTGATAGGGCCAAGGTCACTGGGGATGAACTCCACAGGGCTGCATGGAAGGCTTTCTTGCCCACTACAAAGGCCTGGGTTCCCTCCAAGATGGTAAAGTCCTCGTAGCGTAAGTTGATGGCATTGGCCAGAGGACGCAGAGCTGCCGGCACCACTGGAGTTTGCTGGAGCTGAAGAGGAACAAACGTTAGACTTCCAGTCTTAATCAGAACTAAAATTGAAAATCTTTACCTGATCTAGCACCTGGGCGAGTGCCTCATGATTGGCCACCACCACGGCGGTGTAGTTATCCTCGATGGTCTTGTGCACGACACTGCGTCCTTTGCGCATGCGCAAACGATTCGTGGCCTTGCTGCGGTTCTTGTTGGCCTAAAGTAAAGGGGTTTTAATCAGATTAAGGTATTGGAAATCTTATTCAAGGAGACTCACCTGTGGCATGCCCCAGACGCTGTCGTTGATGTCCGTGGCCACATCGCCGCCCGCCTCGCTGCCGTAGTAGCTGTACGGAGCATAGATATCGAACTCGCCCACCTCACTGCCTGCATATGAAGCGGAGATGATGCGTGGAATGTTGGCTAAAAGGGAGAAGATATCAAGGATTAGATTTGGGTATAAAAAAGAACCAAACAAGATCATTACTTAAGATCAACTTAAGCTAATCCTTAGTAAAAGAAAAGCAAACCTACCCAAGCTGTTGTTCAATCCGTAGTTTCGCACCGGTCCGTACTCGCTGCGTGAGTAACTGGCAATGGATGCCGTATCCGAGTAGATGTTGTTACGCCTCGTGGCCTGGGTCAATCTCTGACCAGCCACGGAAAGATCAATATTACTGCGCGTGGGTGGCGGAGGAGGCGTCGAAGTGGAGGGCGTTGGCGTGGTATTACCAGTAGCCGTTGGTGGTGGCGGAGAGCCCATCTTCACGAACTCGTACATATTCTCATAGTCTCGTTTGTCCTTCAGATAGCTATCAATGGTGCTGTTGATCTTGCGCACCGAGTCCTTGAGACTGCTTCTTTGGGCAGCATCTGCTGCATCAATAGAACGCTGCTCGAAGATCTCTAATTTGCTGGAGATGGACATCTTGGGCTCGCTCTTCTTCTGGGGTTGCCGCTCGAAGGTGCTCGTTCTACTGTTTGCAGTGGAGGCGGACTTCCCTGCCTCCTGACCAGTGGTGTTGGCATTGATCTTGGTTATCGCCTTGCCCTGATCTGTGGCTACATTGTCACCGTTTGACGAGCAAATGGAGATAGTGTCGGTGAGGACTCCGCGCTTGCGTACTAGTTCCAGCTGGGCCTCCCGCTCCCGCATGCTGGCCGTGCGCTCTGGCTTACGTGGTGCGATCGAGGAGCGAATTTCACCTGTGGAATAAAATTTAGAAATTAGTGGTTAGTAGAGGGTTCTTGAGTATGTAACTAAGACTCGTCGATGTAGTTTTAGTAATCTTAGGATGACTCGGATGGATGATTGTAAGCTTTAAAATGCATTTAGTAAACAATATTCTTGCAATATTATATTTGACTAAAAAAACTTTTAAATTCCATCTATCTTTCTAAGAGATGAGCATAGAATAGAGCGCTAAGCTCTGCTGGTAACTGTCAGATACTTAATAAGTCGTCCTCAAATAAAGTCTAATTTATTAACTAGTTCTATTAGGAAAACGGTTATAGGTTAACTTTCAAAGCTCTTCTAATGTTCCCAATTTAACCATATCAGCTTAAGCACCAATGAATAAATACAATTAAAGAGTTGGTAAAGAGGAGCTCTTCACAACCATTTCGTAATTTATTCATAAGATTTCCCAGGCCGTACTCAAATTTGCTTGGCCTTCATGTGGCGATGCCAAATGTTTGCTGGCACCTGGAGAATTGTGGAAAATCCAGCCACTGAATGCCAGCTCCACCCTCCTCTCCAGTTCACCAGGCCAAGTAGTTAGACAACCCGTGAGTACTAATTGCGATTTTGACCCAAATTCGTGCCAAATTACAATTCGCATGATGGTGCTGATGGTCAGGTTGAATGTGGTTGCTCTTGGATCTGGGGCTCACTGACTGGCTGGCTAGCTTGTTTGCTCGCTCTTCCTCCGAGATGTCTAACAAATGGCTCTAGATGTGGCTCTGGATCTGGCTGTTTTTATTTTTCATGACCAGGTGCCAGTTACCAGGTGCAGCGGCAGGTGTAACAAGTTCTCGCCGCATTCGCGTTGACCGCAAAGTGTCAGGCCGAAAGAAATGGGTCTCTGGTCCGGCAGTTTCACCAGTTGGTTCTCCTTCCTCCGGCCGAAACCATCAACATGTGGTTACCTCATTGGTCTCGGGCATAGCCCCGAGTTGGCCTGGCTTATTTTCATTTCGATTTTGTTTTTTTTCTGTTTTACTTGGCCCGCTCATCTGGTAAACTATTTTGCTCTCTGGCTTTGGCCACTTAACCCAGTTCGAGCCGGCTCATCACACTCGTTTCGATGCGGCGGATATGGTCATAAGTGGCATACCTGTATCCGTACTTTGGTCTATATCTATATATATATATATAAAGGAGTGTGTGTGTGCCCGTTATATTGATTAAAATGCGTAACTTGTTCTGCGTTTGGTTTTTGGGTTCTACTTTGAGAGGAGTTGCTGCCACAGCTTTTACCATTTACGGTGATTTTATTCGTGTTCTTGTTTCTCGTTTCGTGTTTGTGGCTGCAATTGAAGTCAACAAGTTGGCTGAAAGAAGTGGGTGAAGTGGCCAAGACCCTTCAGACCCACATTTCTACATATACTCACTCGTTCATACACTATACATGAGCTGGCTGTTTTGAAGGTCGTCAAATTTCTGGGCGCTGTCAGTGAACGTGATTTGCTTACGCTTTCTTTTGGAATGCGATCGCAAAAAAGTCGGGAGAAATGGATGCGGAAAGTGGGGGATACATATGTCTGTATGTTGGCCACAACTCATGGAATCGGGTCAATGGGAACGAGATTGAAATTAACTTCATGAGTGCCGGAATTCCGCTTACTCATTATGCAGGAATGCTCAGTGGCCCAAAATGCTTGCGAATATAAGGCTTATTTGCTCTACATTTGGTAATGTTGTTTATGACTTTAAGTTAGTTTAAAAAACTATTTAACTAGATTTAGGTATTAGTCATACTTAGGTAATTAAAGTCAAGAAAAAGCTTAAAGTCTGTTCTAACATAGGTGAATTATGTAAAGTTTTAAATTATTTTTAAAGTTCTTGGTTTAATTGTAAGAACATTAAACTAATACCTTTTTTTTAAAAAGATCACTCACCCAAATTGGCGTAGACGTTGTCGGCCTTCAGCTTAACGGATCCGGTGCCGGATCCCAGTGCCAGGACATTGGAGTCCACGCTGCTGCTGCTGAGCGTGGCGGTCAGTTCGGTCTTCTGCTTCCGCCGGAGTTCAGCGCTCTTGGGCGGCGGTGGGCGTGCCGGCTTGTTAGCCTCATGGGCACGCTGGCCCTCACTGGCGCTCGATCGAAGGGGCGGTGCCGGTGGCTTGGCCGTAACCACGGCCACTGTCTGAGCCGAAACAGAGTCACTCGTCTTGGTAATATCCTTTACCACCTCCACTGCCGTGGGATTTATATCGATAGGATGGATGATAACCAGACGAGGTTTCCCAGAGGCATTACCCTCCTCCGTTCCTGTGCATATTTCCGTATAGATACTGGCCTCCTTTTTACCCAGAGCTTCACCTGATTTGGTGTTACCTCCATTGCTGCCCATGCGGAGGAACTTTTTAATGGAGAACTTGGACTTTTGTTTCTGTGGCGGCGATGCCGATGGGGATTTTTTGTCTAGGCCAGCTGCGGCCAGACATTCCTCTGACATGGAGAGATGACGCTGATTCCGGGGCGTTGGCTCTGGCGTCATCGGTTGCTTCAGGCTCAGAACTGAGCTGGCCGATTGCATCTGCATCTGCTTGGCTGCATTGGCTCGCTGCATTACGAATGTGTTGAGACTCCGGAACTTGGGGTTAATCACGGCCCGTTCCCGTTTATCCTTCTCCCGGATAACAGGAGCGGCTGCAGCCACCGGAAGGGCTGGCTTTCTGGTGTACAAATTGCTGTTGATAGTGGCAGATGCAGGTGCAACAGTAGCTGCTCCTGTTACAACACTTGGTGCTCCTCCCTTTTGGCTCTCAGCTGGTGTCGGTGTTGATGTTGATGTCTCACCTGGGACAGATGACGTGGTCTTTTCCGCTGGCTTTGCTGCCGCCTTCGCCGCTTGCTCGAACTCAACTACCAGACTGTAATCTCGCTCCGGCGTGGGCGGAGCGCTCAGCTTTGGCTCTGGCGGCGGATTCGGGGCTTTGCCCTTTTTCAGCTTGGCCTCGTCAGCGGCTAGATTCTCTTTGGCCAACTGTAGACACTCGCTGGACTTCGAAATGGCCGATTGCAGCTGGCTGATGAATTGCTGCTCGGCGCAGCTGGGTTGTCTCTTGCCCAGGAAACTTTTCAGTTGGCTGCTGTTATTGGTATTGGAATTATTGCTGCTGGGATGGCTATTGACAAGTGGTTTCACCGGCAATTCTGGCTTTTTCAGGCCATGTAGAAACGAGGGCCTGGCATCGATCTTCATGGGTGGCGGCGGTGACTTTGGCAGTGCAGGAAGCTGCTGATCCGCCTCCTTTTGTTGTGTTTGTTTTTGCTTTTGCTCTAGGCTATTATCCGGATCTGCACTGCCATCGGGTTCGCCATGTAGTTCCCTGCTCTTAACAGCCGGCTTGGGCACCGCCTGATCTCCTATCTGAATATCCTCGTAATCAGAGTTATTGGTACTAGCACTTAGCTTCTTCTCCACCAGCATTTGCCGCTGTTCTCCACTGATTACCGTTCCCTTGGCCAAACCCAAGTTCTTGTACTCACTGCCCAGACTAATTCCAATTCCCGAATCCGATTCACTGCGAATCATGTTGTAGGCATTTTCCTCATCTGAACTGCCATCGAAACTGCTGCCGGTGGAGTCCAAGGCATCATCGGAACTGCACTTGGTCACAATCAGACCATCGGAGGTTATCTTGCTGGTCATAAAGTTGCCCTCGTGCAGATTATAGCTGGCTGCACGGGTTTTTGAGCTGAGTAGCATGTCCGTGATGTACTGGGAACTGGAGTAGTGGGAATTACCGGAGTTCTCCGTATGGGCAGCGGTGGCCACACCCACCTGTTCAGAGTACTTGCCATCGGGGAGATTCTCATAACTCAACTGGGTCTCCACCACATCATAGTAGGCTGAGACACCATTTTCCGTATCCGAGCAATTGCTGTCCGTGTCCGAGTATTTGTGGCACACGTTCACCTTGGGTTTGGTCTGGTCCCTGGTGATGGGCGCATTCCGAGCGATGGGTTTCTTAAGGTCAAGAAATGGCTTCGGAGAGTCACTCAGGGCACTTAGCTCGAATTTGATCTTGCTGCTGCTGTTGGTAGAGGAAGTTGAGATGTTGCTGTTGTTTCCGCTTGAATTTGTGGCAGCTGCATTTGTCTCGCTTAGCTTCTGCTTTTGCTCCAAAGTCTCGGAGATCTCGTCTAGCAGTGACTTTTCCATGGCTCGTTCTATGGGCGGACTAGCTTTGCCATCTCGCGAAGATGTTGCCGTTGCGACAGCTGACCCTGTTGCAGTTGCCGTAGCTGTAGTGCTTTTGGCCATGGTTAGTGTGGGTGTTAGGGTGGTGGTCACCTTTTTGGTAACACTGGCAGTTGCCGTAGTTGTACTACTGCTTTTGATGGCTGTCGTTGTTGTTGTTGTTGTGTTTATGGTTGCTGGTTTGGCTTTTGCCGGTGTTGCCCCAGCTGATGTTGCAACAGAGGTTGCTGGTTTGCTTTTGCTTTCCGCAGGCGCACTTTTCGCTGGAGTCGTTGAAGATGTTTTGCCGATGGGTTGGCCAAAAGGCATCACATTGATCGTTAGGGTCTGCTTCTTGCCCTCTTTGTCCACCTGAGGGGCACCCAACTTCAGGGCGGCAAAGGATTTCTTGATATTCTCCTCGGCATCGCCTAAGAGGTTGCCATTGTTCATATTGAAATCGGTGTTGGCCCTGGTAATCCTTTTCAGCTCCACCGTTTCCTCATCATCTGTTTCGGTAATGGCCATGTCATCGTGCTCATTGCCAAGATTCATAAAATCGTGATCGTCATCGTCATCATCGTCTTCCGACCACTCGCCGCCATAGCCAATGACCTCGTGCAGCTGCTTGGGAAAGCACACCTTGCCACCTTTCGAGTTTGAGGATTTTCCCGAAGTGGAAGAACTGGTCAATCTAACCCCGAAAGCCTTCTTTATTATGCTCTTGGCCGGAGTCTTGTGCTTGTTGGGGTAATCCGTTTTAACCTCTTTGTCTGTTTTATGGCTGCCACCCATTTTGGAGGCAGCTGCTGCAGCGGCTGCCTTGTGTTCGTCCTTGGACTTGAAGCAATTTGAGCACAAATCCTTCTTCCAGGCATTTTGGGTGAAGTGCGAACAGATCGAGGACGACATCGCTGAGTCTATATTTGATGCTTACTGCTGCTTCCGCCGACGAAAAACCTTAGGCCATATTCTGCAAAAGGGTAAAACGAAAAAATATATTTAAAAAAAAAATCAGATAAGTGGTCGTGAGTTATGGTTAGCTGATGATGAGGTTGTTAGTTCGTGTAAGCCTAAACTTTCTTTGCAAAAATATTGCGCAAGCTCACAATTAACTTTCACTGCCGCCTGCAACGCAATCTCAACTTCTGCCGCATGACTCAATATTGATTGAGCGGAGAAGTTAAGACCGGCAATTGTGACTGCGCCATGTGGTCATCCAGCAGCCGAAATCATGGCCACAAACAGCTATTTGCCCAGGCCAGCTTATCAATCAATCTTCATCTTGATAATGGAATTATTGAAATTTTCCTGATGATGATGTGACTGTCGTTGGTTGAGTTCATGGCTTGCCAGAAAACTCTTGGTGGTTGGGAAAATGCGAAAAAAAAAGTCTGGAATGGATAGATGGGAGTGCAACCACATAATTAACTTTGATTGTCACATCTCTCCGCGGCTCCAACATTCGATTGCTGTTGGGTAATCGCCAGTTGTTGCCGCACTTTGTTATCCATTTGGCTACTGTTTGCCATTTATTTTGTCGCCAGCTTGCAAATGACTTTCTAAACCCAGCCCAAACTGCATGTGCAACACGCTAACGGTCGCAAAAATGTCTAGCAATGAAAAAACACCTAGGAAATGCCACACAGAAATAAAAACAGAGAGACAAAACATTTATAGCTTTAAAATTGGCAGCTTGATTTGGTCAGAGCTTCTAGAAATGATTTCAAAGGCAAACTGGTTTCCTTCTAAGGAGCTAACCATTCATTTTGATAATTTCCCAAACAAAGACAGAATGATTTGTAGTTTCTGTGAAATTTCCTGTAGAACTTTATTAGGCTAATTTAATGAGTAATTTGTGAGAACTTTTATGGGTAACTTTTATTCTTTAAAGTTAACTGGAACAACTAATTTTGTGAATGCCATTCCAGAGACTTTAATGGCCATCTGGTAACCATCTTGTTATTATTCTCGCAGTCATATCATTGGTAGATCAAATTACTTGATGACGGTTCGGTATCTGGAAGATCTTTTTAGAACCTCTTCTTAACCATTTTTGGGCGTTTCTTCTGAAACATTTCACACTATTACAGCCAGCAGCTGCAACATCCCCAGACAGCAGCTAACAATGTAACGATTTTGAGGTCTTTAAGCCATTAACATCTTTATATGGCTGTGAGCATCTACGCAAGTGTGTCACTTCAACCAAAACACGTAGTTTAGGCGCCCAATTGGGAGAGTGTTGGTGTCGCAGTGACAACACCCACAACGGCAACAATGAAGATGACAACAGCAGCAACGCCAGCTAACACAACAGTCTTTAGCTTCTTTTGGCCAACATTTATCAACGCCAGAGAGCCAAGGAAAGTTGACCCATTGTTAAATGTTGCCGGTGTGCTCGACTTCTGTTGCTGCCACGCTTGATTTCTGCATCAGATGCTAATGTTGCTGCTGGAACTGTTGCAGTTTTGGGTCAGCATTTTGACTTGACGGTTAATATGCATAAATCTCGGCAATGTGCAATGCGGTCGCTGAAAAACAATTGGCAACGAATGAAGATAAATGGGGAGGCAGGGGAGAAAAGGGTGTTTTGGGCAAATTGCATAACTGCGGCAGCTAAATGTTGCTGCTGTGTTTCTTTTTTTGTTTGTTGTTGTATTTATTTTGCCCGCATTGTTACCCATAAATTTTAGCCACAACTCGCGGTTTTCGTTACCGTTTGTTTTTCTGTCTATTTCTGCCACGGTTTTTTTTGTTTGTTAATTGTTTGCATTTTTTTTTCTTTCACTCATTTGCATTCGGTTGCGGCATCGATTGGCCATTTATTTATGGCCAAGCACACACACAAACAAACTCAACGAACAGGCAAAAGGCGATGAGAGTTGTGCCCATTCTCATGGAAAGCAAGTGGATCGCTGGATAGCATATAAGCCAACTATTGAGCGGAGGAGCCGGTTGAAAAAAAAGTGAAATAGCCGAGCATTTGAAAAACTGTCAAAGGCTGTAAAGAAATGCAGAAAATTCACAACAAATTGTGGGGCCCATTTGACCATATAAAAGCCGTCTGCCCAAGTTCCAGCAGCCTCCAATCGAAATGAAGATGGTGTGGCAGCAGCAACTCGAAATGGAATGTGCAGCAGCAGCAGCAGCAGCAGCAACAACAACAACATCATCCACATCGACAACATCTTTAAGCTATTTTTCAAGTTTGGCAGTTGGCCTGGCAGCAGGAATGCTGTTTCCACCCGGTAAGATTGTTGGCCAGAAGAAAGAGAGATATCAAGGCGTGTTACTGCGGCAAAAGTGTTACACAAATAAATCTACATACATTTTCAGGCTAGCTCGCTAAGCTCCTGACCAAAATGGTTAATTTATGCCTGGCCAGGATGTTGGCCAGTTAGCCAAGTTGGCTTTCTAAGGCGAGTGAATGACTTAGACTGACATTTGGTAGATGGATTCCAAAATGGGGAAAACTGTCCGTGGGCGTTACAAACTAATCGATGCGCTGCTGTCTGATCTGGATTTGCATTTTGCATACATTGTGGCTGTCTATAAAGTACAGCCAATTGGACATACATGAAAATGCCCGTTAACGAAACCCGTTTTCCCCATTTCGTTCCGCCGTCAACCCATTTCGATATTTTGCATTCTGGCATTCTGTATTTGCTTTAATCTGATCGGCCAAAAACAGTTAGCTTGACCGCACAGTCAGGCCAATTGAGGCCAACAGGTTTTTGGCCAGAAGCAAGAGCAGGAGTGTTCTGCAGGCTATTCTTAACAACACATCCTAGTCTTTGTTTGGGTTAGCTGCCGCCTGTTTTTTTTTGCCAAGAGTACAAGGAAAGTGGGTTAAAATCGGTTGATTCAGCAGCAACCGCAGCGAAGAGCAACAAAAAAGTTTCCAGAACCAAATTTTAATTTAATCACCGCCGAGTGTGTTGATTCCCATTAAAGCCGAACAGGAAAGCGAAAAGCGCAAAAGCACGAAATTGAAACGAAATCAAGCGAAATCAAGATGAGGTGAACGGAGAAGATACTATATGGTGTTCCATCTGGAAATCGGGATGAGAAGTGAGGGGCAACATTCGGGAGCTTTGTTCCACATTTGCACGTGAGATTTATGCGTGGATGAGGTTGGGGGAAAGGCCCCCATCTTATGGTGTTTATTTATACATTTATCGTTATGTATACGCACGTATTAATGGATCTATATGCACGGCAGCAGCAATATCCACCTGTGTTATGTTCGCTCTTTTCGAGATTATGCAAAGCAGCAGCAACAGCAACAGCAACAACAGCAGCGGGAGTAGAGGAATGCTCTCCGCCCTGTTTACATTGCTTAAGTTATGCAGAGACACTCGGCATTCGGCACTCTGCGAAGTTTTTTGGGCAAAAATTCAAGAATTCTTAGCTGGGTTGGGCCTTTTGCAAAGACGAACGGATGTGGTGGGCGATCCAACAGCCAAATGTCAAACTATTTGCTCTGGGCCCGTTTCAATGCCTTTAAAGGCAAACTACCAATTAGGCGCCTGGCAAAGACTTGAAGAATCTCACATCTCTGCATCTCTAAGCCGCCTTAAGCTTATAGCTTTATTAGTTCAAAGTTCAAGTTCAAGAGTGTGCTCTGCTCTTGGGCTTTAGTTGCATTGTTCGTCTATGTATTAGCCCAAATTACACTTTCAAATTTAATCAGCTGCTTATTGAGAGCTCTCCATGTGTGGGAAAGTCAAACATTGTTAAGTGAGATATATTATGCGCATTGTAATTCGAACTTAATACACTTAAAAAATACAGGTGTTACTAATATTGGACTGAAATAATAATAAAAATGGAAATTCTCAATGAACTTAATCTTAAGGAAGATAATTTAAAATTGTAAAAAAGCTTCTAAAGTTACTTTTAAGGCTTGTTTTTACTTTTTCTCGTCTTTTTAAATAAATATAATATAAGAAAAATTATATTTTTTCCTTCACTTCAATTGTATTTTGATTTCTATTCAATAATAGAGCAAATTTTTGTATACTTTTAAGACCACAAAAATAGTGTCTTTGACAATGCAAAATATATTTTGATTTTGCTTTTTTGTGTCTGTGCAGTTTTCAATGCCACATCAAGACAATCAAAATCCAACTGATATATGCCAAAAATGTTATCCGTTTCCCTGTTCACACGCTCAGCCAAACACAAATTTGGCTGGGAGATTGTTTAATTAAAGCCAAGTCAAAGTTGCTGGCGTAGTTGTTGTGCCTCTCGAGAACTTGCCGGATGTTGGATGCAGGCAACAGGGCAATTTTGTCAACAGGTAATACAACAAACTTGTGCGACCACAATAATGACAACAAAAAGGCAGCAGCAACAAATGCTGCGTCAACAGAAGCAGCAGCAGCAACAACAGCAACAACAGCAGCAGCAGCAGCAAAATCCAGCACCAGCAATTAAATTGTGAAGAAGTTGTTTGGGAAGGGGGAGTGGAAATTACTGTAGTGCCGCTGGCTGTTTGAAGCCTTTTAACCATAAACATAGCTGATGACTACCTGCTTTAAGCACAAGTCAACGGAGTGTGATTAAAGTGGAAAGATTGGATTTGCCAAGTTAGTAGAAGGGGGAGCTAACCTTTTGGCCCAACACTCTTAAGATTTAATACGAACTTAAGTGCCAGAACACATTTAGTTTGACCACCCAAGACCTTCGAGACATGATTTCTTGATGGCTTGACACATTCTGCAAATGGTTTTGGCCCAGCCAAAAGTTACTTGTCCGCCTGTCAATTATCCTGAATAACGAGCCCGGCTCACAGCTTCGCGTCTAGATGTCAATATTGCCAGTCATTCGATGCCCGTCGGCATATCATGTCGGGTTAATTGAAGTTGCCATATTTGCTGCTGCTAAGCTGCTTAACCGATGTGCCACAGAGGCCTAAAAACATTAGCCCAAGGCCCCCAAATGGCAAAGTTTGGGTTTATTTTTAGCAGCAAGTTGATTACGGAAAAATGTTTTATGTTCATTTTCGCCAAGGATATTCCAGGAAATTGCAAGGGAGGAGCTGCGGGAGCTGCCTTAATCAAGCGAGGACCGTAAATTTATGCCTGTGAGCGGCACCCACATCTTCCTTTTGCCTTTGGGCATTCTGTTGCACAAAATAACGGGGGAGGGAAGTTGGTGGTTGGGGGGCTTGGGAGGCGGAAAGAAACATGTATTTCAAGGTTAAGTTCCCATGTCGTCTTCGTTTTCATTTGCTGTTGCGTGACGCAGACAAAGAGTACAACAAAAAACAGACATAAGAAGAGGCGAAGATGAAAAGGAAGCTGAAGAAGGCACTGTTGCAACGTGGCGCAAAAGAACGACAGCGGCAGCAACATCAGCTGCAACACAAGACATTGCAAATTAATAAATGAAAACGCATCCATTGATGCAACTGTTGCCAGGAGACCAAATAGTTGCTGTTGCACACCACTGCTGCCTGTTGCTGCTGCCGCTGCTTTGTTGATTTTCTTCTTTAAGCACGCACATGTGTTGCCGCAACATCTTGCTTAATTAAAAACAACAACACAAAAAGAACTTACCCCTTGGACCCCGTTAGAGCCCCAACTTTACCCTCCTGCAACAGAATGATGTGTCGCTTACTAAAAACTGGGATCCGATTTCCACTTTGTATTGCATGTTGCAGGTCCCCGCAGCAACAGCTGTTGTCGCTGGCATCGTAACTTGAGTTTATGACACACACCATCAACACACTCCCTAGTTTTGCTTAATTTTTAATAACTTGCCATTAAACATTTTTTACGATTACTGGGAGTCTTAATGAATGTGAGTCTAGAAGAGAACTTTTCGACTGTCACTGGTTTTGAGGACAACGAATAAAAACCTGTTGCGTGGGATACTTTTTGTAACTTTGTGGCGCCACATTCCCCAATTTGTTGGACAATTTGTAAGTGTCTGTTGTCGGACAGGCACAAATTGCAATTGCGACTGCAACAGAAAGACATCTTGTAATAGAGCAGTGAGTCATGTTTGTGGGACACACAGCTGCAAAGTTTTTTCTGCCTTTTTTTCGGGTTTCACCGCAGGCCGATGACTGCCATTTTATCCGGTTTTGTGGCTGAGATCTTGACCAGAACAATAAAACGCCCAAAAGAAAAAAACTGGCCAAGAACAATTGCTGCCACTATGGCTTCCACTTCTACCTGTTTCGCCCAGAAACTCTTTTTTGGCCACCTTAACTTCGTGTCCGGGAATTATGAAGGCCTGTTTGTTTGACTTTTATTGCACAATTAGAATATGAAATACAAAATAAAAGCAAATTCAAGATACATTCGCAATTTGAGTTTGAGTCTAGAGTCTGAAGTTGGTAAGACGAGAACAGCTTGGCCATTTGGGTTGAGCAACTGGCAAGACACAATTTTCGATGTCTGCCAGCGGTCTAAGGCAATTGTCTTAGAAAATCGAAATGGTGAAGGGTCTGCGGGATGGATGATGTAATTGTATGCCAAAGGTCAATAACTGTCTTGGAATTGGAAAAGGCAAATATGGCAAATACTAGTAAGACAAAAACAAATAAAGTCTCAGACAATGCTGAAGAAAAATATGCAAAGAATATGTATAAGCTTGCGACTACACATTTTCTTGTCTTATATACTATACAAGTTAGGCTGGGAGAAGTGGAGTTTTCTTTCATTTGGGAATTTTATATAAAATACAGAGAATTATTGATAGACAAATGGGATTTGGCAGAAAGTTTCTAGAAAGCTTATTAGCTTAAATCACTTAACAACTTCTCATACTAAAAACAAACCTCTAAGCTTTAATATACAAGCAAAAGTTTTGTTTTTTTAGTTTGGACTTTTAGGAATAATCAACAAAATATGTAAACGATTTTAGCATGCATTTAGACTGATTTTATTTATTAACTCAATGCTTGTTTCCAATTAAGTTACTTCATAAAGTCCTCTGGCAGTAACTTAACTCTGCGTTGAAGACCTCAAGTGTCCGCTATAAGGCCACGTCCAGAATCCTCTTTAGGAACATGTCTTGAAGAAGCAGGAGCTGTTGATGGCTTGACAATATCTTTTTGTTTTTTTGCTGGGTGGCAGGGATGGCCTTATTAAACTCGCGGATGGCACACTCCCTCTGGGCATCTAGGATCATCTTTTGGAACATGTCCTGAAGAAGCAGGAACTGGTGATGGCTTGACAATATCTTTTTGTTTCTTTGCTGGGTGGCAGGCCATCAAATTATTAAGCTCGCGGATGGCACACTCCCTCTGGGCATTCAGGTTTGAACGCTTTAACACCGGGTCAGTGGAACTGACTTTCTTCAGCAAAAAATCGTCTGCGATCATATAATTGACCACATGGGCATGGCTTCCACGCTTGATCCTATAGATGGGCTGACTTCCAGTGGCCTTTGATTGAGAAGAGAAGTCTTTGAATGTTGGCAGATTTCCGCTAACTTGGAATAGCGTTGTCTTCCCAATGATTTGGTGATTTTCCTTTAAGTATGGAGCGGTAACTAACTGGGACAACTTCGTCTTGGTTTGATTTAGATTCGTGGACAGTGGGCAACGTGCTGCAGTGCACGTTTGCATGGGAGTCTTCTCATCTCCTCCATATTTCAGTTTTTTGACTTGAATATTCGACATTTTTGGATATATTATTCCAATTCCCTATGAAATGCTTTTCCTTTAGCTTAATGATAAGCAACTTTTTTGACAACTAATCAAAATATGGTCTGTTTAAATACCAACTCGGGTTTAGTGTTGCAAAGTTTTGAGGTCAACTAAAAATATACAAAAATGTGACCTGAGGGTATAGCTAAAAATAGCAGGATATTCCCTAACACTGATTTGGGATTAAGAAATTGTGTCATGAAGTCGATTTTCTTGGCTTATATATAGTGAGTATAGAACATAAGTTCATCTCAACCATTTCTAAAAAAGAAACTGATTTAAATTCTGAAAGTAAAACTGAGTAACTTTTCCTAAAACCAAAACCCACATCAATGAACCCGTCTTGCTGACAGAGTGCAACAATGTGATGTGGCATCTGCATTTGGATATTGGGCACAAATTGCACGCAACGTTTGACAAACGGAGGCCCTGCACATATTACGTGTACGCACTGTTGCAAGGCCAAACAATGGCTGGTGTGCAGCTGGAGACAAAAGACAAAAGAGTTACCAAACACATACTCACACATGCCACATGAGTGGCAGCTGCAGCTGTAGCAATTGCTCTTGTTGCTGCTGCTGTTGCTGCCGTTAGCCGTTGTTGCAAGTTGCAACTGTCGCCGGTTGGTGCGATAAACAACAAAAGAAAGTCAGTAAACCACTGCGAGGCTGGCCAAGTTCAAAGTTCAATGGAAGAAGCGACAAAAGCTGAAACGAGACGTGTAGCAGCAACATGTTGACAGCGACAAGCAATTAGCAAAGGCAGAGGAAGAGGGTTTGGGGATTGGGCTTTCAAGAGGGGGCACACGACATAGTTCAACTGCAGGGCAAAGCGCGCAAATCAATTTGCATTTGCATTCGCCAGTTGCAAGTGCCTCCTTTTTATTTCGTTTCTTTGGGCAATGAACCTGCAGCATCAGCATTGCATTAAATAATCATAAATAACATTTGTTAGCTGTTGTGTTTTTTATTTTATCGCGGCTATGTGGTAAGAGCCACAAAAATTGAGCCAACGGCAAACTAAAAGCGCTTTCCTTCTTTTGTTTGATGTAGAAAGTGCAGCGGACAAGACAGGCTCATGGGAAATTAAATCAATTGAACCGGCTGGGCCATTGGTAGTGGTAGTGGTAGTGGTGGGCTTTGAACTTGGCTTAATTAATCTGTGCAGCCTTTCGAAAGTTTGGTCAGCAAAATTGAATTGAATTGAGTTGCCAGCGAAAACAGGGACACGCCCAATGTAAAATTATTTGTTTTGTTGTTTGACATTTAATTGGCATTAATTACTGCTGCCCCCCAAACTATAGGCTATATATCTGCCTCTCTTTGGCCAATCATGGACACAACTTTCACTGTTTCGCCTACACCAAAATTGGTAGCCAAAAGCATTGGGAAGAGAGATGGGGAAGGGGTGGTAGTGTGGCCACTGCAATTGACAGTTTCAATTGAAGCATTCGAGCGAGTCTTGGCCAGGCTTATCGCTATGCGCCATCCAGGCGGCAGCTTTACCCAAAACCCATTATCAATTTGACAGGCAATAGCCATTAGACAGAAGCAGCTTTTGTTACACTAAGAAAAATAATAAAGCTTAAAATTTGAAGAAATAATAAATTGGGAAAATGTAATAAGTCGTAAGTTATGAAAAATCAAACACTTTTCCCTCCAAACATTATGCAACATGTGATATATTCCTCGCCCTTTTCATCAACTCAACTTAAAAGAAAATCAGGTTGCAGTCGATTGAGAACGTTGCATGCCACCAACTCATTTGGCTCAATTAACATTAGCTGGGCCAACAGTTTAGCACCTAATCGCTTGCTACCCACTGGAAGGCCAGAAATGCCGACAGAATAAAGCCAAAATGCGCTCGTTAATTAATAAACAGTTCCGCCACATAAACGATGCCACAAATCAGCGGGCAGCATACAACAGACACTATATATATGTATGGCATTATATTTATAGGCCAGAGGGGACTGGGAACTCTTGCCACACACGTGTGCAACATGTCACCTGGGGAACGGAATGGAATTGTGTGGTATGACAACATGCAACATTTACGAGGTTGTCGCTGCAAAGATTTTTATTCAAGCTCTACCCGAGTGGGAGTTTCTCTGCAAAAACGAAAAACGAAAAAAGAAAAGATATATAGTAGAAAATGAAACAAATTCCAGAAAACAAATTCTCCGTCAGATGAGTGTCGGGGATTGGAGCGATGAATGCGGCAACATCAGATAACTAGACAAATTTGTCTTGCTTTGTTTTCGTCTCGACTTGAGTGTAATTTTGTTAGAAATGGAAAGTTTTATTGTTTGCCATCATCATTCGAAAGCAAATCTCTGAGACTAAACGCTGTCGAATGCAGCCAGCAGCTGTTTTTTCTTCTGGCAGCGGGTTTTTTACAAACATTTTTATTTCTTTTTTTTTCTTTTGGTATTTATTTTGTTTCTAACTGGAAAAGTAAATCTGAAAATCTATTCAATTGTGACAGACTGACTGACTGAATGAAGAGATGTCCAACCGAAACAAACCCCAAATGTCTTCATCCAACAATGGAATGGTTTTTTCCACAAACTTCTTCTGCTTCTGCCGCTTTATGGGCGAGTAGTACAATAAATTTTGGTATAAAATTAGATTTATCTCTGCATTAAATGTATATAGGATATATATGTGCTTGTCTCTATGCCTTTTAAAAGAAACTCTACTTCTAGCACACAATGGAAAGTTTCTCAAGCTGGCCCAAAACAAGAAAAAAAACTAACAAAGCGAAAGCGATTTTCTGATTTTCTGAGTCCCAGGGCGAAGAAGAGTTCGTTGGCATTTGGCATTCGCATAATTTCTGCGTCATTTAACACACATTGTTTGAGGCACTCTTAATAAGCGGCCAATTAAGGCCGATAATTAAAGACACGGCTGCCAACAATTGCAACACTTCGAACACTTTGGCTGCCGTTTAGGCCACCATCCCATTGTTCGACAGTTCGCTAAGTTGCAAGTTGCATTTGCAATCTGCTACATGCCATTACCAGTTGGATTTTCCAGTCTTCCTGGTCTTCGATAAAAGTCTGGGATTCATGAAACTGACTCTTCCCAAACAACACTTTTGCACACCTGACAACACATTGTTAGCCGTTTCCAATTACATATGTTTGTGTGTGTGTTTTTTGCGGCCTGGGAGTGCACCTTCAATTGGCATGCCAATTGCCCTGGCAACGAAAGTGTAAATTATGGCAAACATGCCAGCTTCGTCTTACCAAGTTACATTAGGCGTTACGCATATTTTGCATTCTGTGTGAATTCAATTTTCATTTTCCTTACCTGCTTCAGCTTTTTCACCTGTCGCCTGGTTTTCCTCTGTTTATATTTATTGGTTTTTACAATCTGCAAAAGAAATAAGATGTTTTGTTATTAGATATTTGTTTGATCTGTAATAACTTGTTAAACATTTTTAAGGGTTAAAAAAATATTTCTAAAGCTTATCATTCCATTTTTATAGTTCTTTTCAAACTATTTTTTATAATTTTTAGGCAAACATTTTTATCTCTTTTAATACGAATACTCAAATATATAAAATTCAAACTGAAGATAACAAATGTATTAAATTTACTTCGTAATTTATTATTTAAAATTTTGATTTATTAAGCCCTGAGTCCGAATCTTAAGCAATTGTCAAGAGAGCCACAAAAATCTTGACCGCTGTCCGCGACTGCCAACTGTCCAACTGCAGTTCAATGGCCTGTGGGCGCGCATGCAAAATTAGCCAATTTCGTTTGGCGTAACTCAAAAATCAGTAATCGAATTACAAAATGTTAAGGCGCCAGTTGTACTTACAATTCCCTCCCACAAAACACCCCCCTTTTTCTCGGCTTTTGGCCATGCAATGACCCGAATTCAATGCACGTCGAGCTCATATTTTACGACCACTGCTGCACTGCCATCGAGTACCCTTCTCCTTTCCTCTCTCCCCCTTTTTTGTGGCAGTTGGCATTTAATCGCTGGCAAAGTCTCGACTTGATGTCCCCCTCCCCCTCGGAACACCCTCTCATCGAACTCCCTGTAATCGAGCTGAAAAAAGCTACAAAATATTTATTGTCATTCTCCACGTCTTGGCCAGGTTAGGTTTAACTTGGCTTGGCTTGGCCTGTCTTGACATGGCCAGAACAAGTTGCAGCCAGTTTAAAATGCACTTGAGCACTCCGCTTAACCCATAGAGCTGCGGAGGGTGGAGAATGGGTTTGGCGATAAAGGAGAACTGTTCCATCAAGGTTAACTTGGTTAACTTGGCCAAGTGGCTGGCTTTTACGGCGCACTTGTACGTTCTTTCTCATGGGGGATTGGCAGACAGTGGAAATGCTATATTCTATTGTCAATTAACGTGGCGTCTGATAAAAACTGACCGCTGCAAGGCCGCCCATTAAACAGATCAGACGTGTATATGCGGTCATATTTATTAGCATATTTAGCAGGCAAAAAAAAAAACAAATCCAATTAAAATAACAATCGAGGGTGGAGCGAGTAAGAGGCTCAAGCGGGGACACTGAGTAAGCATTTTACAATATAAAATATATTTATTTTATAAATATATATATAAAGCTTTCCATTATTTAGCCCAGAACCTAATTAGGATAAGGTGGTAGAGCTGAATGTAAACCACATTCTGGTTGAAGCCAACTTCGATGGCTAAAAACTGTCCTTCGATGACACTGCTGGGGCATGAACTTGCTTCACATGCAGCAGAAATAAGCTGCGAATAAGTTCTCACCGCTATATGTAAAATAAAATCTTCGACTATAAGAAATTATCTTTTTACTGATCCCTGGATGAGCTATGACAGCTATTTCATTGATTGATTCAGTGCAAATATGAGCCATTGATTGGACTTGCAGATGGTCAGCGGGTTGTGTACACCATGGAATATCACGACCATGGCGATGGCCAAAAGCATAACCTGATGTACTACAATTACACCCTGATATTCGTTTTAAAGCGTGTGATGTGTGATTTGCGACCGGATGACCACATATCGCCTGATTGACACAGGCGATCGATCTAGATCCGGTCCGCAAGAATGGCCGCGAATCACTCGCACGCCGGTAAATAGTCCCAGTTAGTATCACTAATTCGCATTTGTACGCACCCCTTTTGGAATTTTCTTTTAGTTCTTGAATTCAAAATATTTCGTTAAGTGGACAATAAAGGCATTTTGATAACCTAAAAAATAAAAAAAATCATTCATCATTATCAAGAAAAATATATTTGCTCAAAAGTACCCTACATAATACCCACTGTAAACTGCAAGCCAAGCTAATCCTAAACCGCACCCCTGGGAGCACTTGTTGTTCTGCTTACGGCCATTGAATGCAAATTGCATGTATCGTTATACTAGCTTATCGATTTCGATTCGAAAGTGGCTTTTAATTAACTTCCCAGCCCCCGGAGCAGCTGTCAATAATATGCACTGAGTTGATATTCTGAATTTCTGCGGCAGTTGGCTAATTAAAGTGAAATTGGCAAATTCACACTTATTTAGACACGTTTAACTTGTAAGTTAGTCAGAAAAGAGGTAATTGAAGATGCCTGAACTAGGAAACTAAAAAAAAAACAGATAAACCCTAAGCTTTTGTTATGTGATTCTGTGGAATTTTTCAAGAGTGCTCTACCAAAACTGGAACTGGGAAAAGAGGGAGGAGAACGCAGAGGAGGCGGAGGAGCAGCTGGAGCGGAAGCGGGAGTGATAATAAAACAACACCGAAGGTCATTACTGGAAAAACGGGTTTTTCTAGCCAACCTCTGCGGCTCTGCAGCATGAAGTGAGTAAGCATTTAGCATTAAAATACCGTTGGGATTATGGCGTTTGAATATGCATGGGCGAAGCGACTGCCAGTGGGTCCACCTCTGTACCCCAGATGTCTCCCCTCTTCCCTATCCCAACCTTAATAGTCAACGCAACAAATGCCGCCAGTTTTGCAGTTCCAGCTCCAGTTTGCCAGTTTACCAGTAGCCAGTTTGCTCCGGCTCCGGCTGCAGCAGTTGCATCTGCATAAATTATGCACCCAGAGCCATTTGCAAATTGTCATTCATCGTTGGGACGACAACTACTGGCGACATCTCCGTGGATGATGACGCCGATGAGGAGATGAAGAAATGGCGGTGATGGAGATGCGGATGACATGGCTTTATGCCCACGCCCGGGTTAACGCCTTGTTCGCAAATCTGGTTGCTAATGGCTGATGGAGATGGTGTCGCTGATGCCATTAAAGGTCAACAGGCGGGTGATGAAACGAGTTTAAGATGCAATACTTTCTGATTTTACTTTAAATTATAAAAAAAAGCTTGTACACGATTTCTTAAGTTACTTACTATAACCATCTTTCATAAACTTTATAAAAAGTGCAAAGATATTAAACCTTACATCTATGAACTTTTTGCTAATGAACTGTAAAAAAACTGTCCAAAATTTTTATGACGTTAAACTTGTACGAACTTCTTTTAACTCTAAACTGTCTAAAATTTGTATGATGCAAGACTCAGAGTAACTAGACAGATTCTTAAGATTTACGAAAGTTCCAGAGAAATATTCTTGAAAAACCCCTAGCTGGTAACACTAAAAAGTGTTGTGAACTCTCTGTTTGATTTTCTTTTCCCTTTTTGACTTTGGCAAAAGACGAAACAGCTGTTAAAATTTTTTGTAAGCTCCATGTTTTTCATATTTTATAGATAATCTTTCTTCAAAAATCAATACCTTTTTTAGATTCTAAAGAAATAAGTAGTGCTAGTGAGTATCACGGCTATGTTACTGTACGGCGCCCGGTTGGATATGATGGCGCGCCGGCATGCCGTAGGAGGGAGACATCAAACGCAGATTCAACCTTATGTCGTTGGCAATCATCACTGGCAAACAACAACGAGTGGTCTTATAGTGCTTGTCAACGTATGGCAGCAAATATATGGTACGGACACCCGAGCTACGCCAGGCAGCCGATGGAGCTGCAGCTGCTCATTCCTAGTCTCGCGGATCCCGTTGAGGAATATGACATGGATAACGATGACACTAGGATGTTGCGCTTTAAGCTGCCCAGCGGTAACATCCCTCATACTATTTTCCTGGGCTGCTCGCCACTGCTTTTTACTACACTATTACGTCCTGGACTTTCCGACAACCTTTTCACTGGGCAAGGGTGTTGATGCCTGAATATAGCTGTAGAACTGCAGCCATATTTAGGGATCAACGCCCTTGCGTTTTGCAAATGCTGCTGGGAATCCAGGACGTAATTATTTTTATAAAGCAATTGGTTGATAAAAGTTTGCAGCTAAACAGCTGTTGCAATTGTTATGAATATTATTTTTTGTAAGCTTCGTGTTTTGCATATTTTATAAATATATTTTCTTCCAAAATTAAAAGCTTATTCAGATGCTATAAACTTGAACTTCTGTTTGCTTTTTCGCCAAAAATTTAAAGAAAAAGTTAAAGAAATGTTATATTTATGAAATTCTATAATAAACGGATGGTAAATATAGATTTTGGGCTTGGTCTAGCTACTGAAGATGTTTATTAACAAATTCTCTAGATGATTAAACGGTATCTAGATCTGTGAAATTCCTAAGTTCTTCAAACTTAGTAAGCGAAGCATTTTACATAAGTCACAGACACCAACCAATTCTGACCGGCTTTTATTTGGCTATAACTGTAAGTGTCATCAGAAAGCGGTTAACCGGTTCCAAAAACCCACTCTGCAAGCCATCCCCAACAGCCAGAGGCGTAGACGTAAAGGGGTTTCTAGTTGTGGTCGATGATTTAGAGGAACTTTATCTCTGATTATTACTTTGCTTGAGGAATCCGCTTGAAAGATTTCACATAAGTCTATGCCCCATAATCAGGCGCTTATGACACCTTTTTTTTGGGCTCAAAACCAGTTGCCGTTCTCTTCTAACCGTTAAGTGACCAGCCAGAGTCCCAATGCAATTCAAATGCAGATGAGTTGCAGCTATCTTCATCTTTCTCCTGTCTGCGTCATTGCCACTGCTGCAACTTGAACTGCAACTGCAACTGAAACTTTCTACTACTCGGAGTTTCGAGTGGAGTGCAATCGAATGCTTCAATGGAGCAGAAAACTTTTGGTGGCATCTCTCTCTCTTGGATGGCTTCGACTTGGAGTCCCTCCGCTTATGTCGCAAATGAAGTTGAAGTCAATTTACTCAAGCATTGACATTGCAGCAGTGGCAGAAACTGCAGCAGGAGTTTCCAGTTGAGTGGAAAGAGCTGAGCATGCAAATTGTTGCATTCACAGTGGGCCATATGAATGGTATATATATATATAGATTTCGGTTTGGGGCCAATAACCAGTGCAATATTTTGTTGGCCATACTTAATTGCCGCTTAG